TTCCCTAAGAATGCTTGCTTTCCTTCCATCCTTTTTTTTTTTCTGCAAAGGAAAAACAGTAGGGTAACTGTTTTATTTGCATCAGTTTGGAGGAATCGTGATGAGAATGAAGAGAGGGGTACGAAGAAAGGAAAAATCCAGAAAGGAATGATAGGAGGAGATTGACCAGATCTGGAAGTTATTTTCCTTGAATGTCTTCGCAAAGTGTTATAAAAGAATAGGGTGACTCCTGCTGCCATGTGACATTTCATAGAAAGACAGGCTTTAAAGATATCACGTGTGTCCTATCCACCTTTTTTCACCAGACCTGACACCATGTAACTTCTGGTTTTTCCCTAAAGCCAAAATAATCACAACTGGTGAACATTTTGAACCCGGTTCTGGTTATTGAGGTAACCAACACAGCACAACTAAAGACCCTCATGAAGTAGAACCTAGAACTGCTTCCGAAAGTGGAAAGAATGAAGGGTTAAGTGTTTTCAAAGCAAAGGGGAGTATTCTGATGGGGATTCATGGTACTACGTCTTTTCATTTAATTTTTTGAAACATTCACCATATATCTTTATTACACTGTCTGATGCAGTTGGTGGTGGTATATTTTGCTATTTTCATTTTTCTCTTCACAGGAGTATACCTATCTTCTGGCAGAATGGCTCCAAGTTTGGTATTTGAAAGTTAACTTAGAGCCCACAGCAGAAAGTTACCATGGGTTTCATAAGGAAATGAGATCTACAAATGCCTGCTGGCTTGTGCTAAGCCGATATTATTATCTATGGATGCCCACAGCACTATTTTTGGCTGAAAGTGTCATGTGGAAGTTCCAGATAGAAGGACTGCTTGCCTTAACTGACAGCAGATGACTTGGATTGTGTCACTGCTCCAGTTCCTAAGTTACATAGACTGTATCAGTTTAGATTCTGTTGAACCAATCAAGAAGCTGTTTCACTTTTAGGTTGTAAGACTCTGCTTCCCTATTTTTTCCTACCAAACCTTCTCCAAATTCCTTTCCCACTAACCTCTTGATTAAACCCCTATTTGCGGATATACTATTTATGTCACTAAGATTATGTATGGACATTATTTTGCTGCCTATTAGAGGACAAGAAAGGAGAAAGGGGTAATCATATTCTATGTTAATAATATAGTATTACTAGCATGATTTTGTTTGTTTCTTCTCACTTGTGCTATGTACATATGTTACTTGTAGGAATAAAGGGCTAGGAACTAAGTGACTGAGAAGTAGGAATGAGAGAGAAAAATTTTGCAATAGTCTTTTTATGATACTGATTTTTTTTTTTTTTTTTTTGAACTGGGAGTCAAACTCAGGAGTTTGTGCTTACCAGGCAGGCACTATGCCCCTGAGCTATATCCCTGGCCCCCAATATTGATTTTTAGACTATGGATTTATTCACTATTTAAAAAAGCTTAGAAACAGAAAAGAGAGTTCTAGGTGCATCAAAATTATTCTCTAAAAGAGGAGAATGGGTAGAAGGAAGCCGGGGCAATTGAGTAGATAATGGCTGGCTTAGTCTATTCAGGCTGCCAAAAAGTACCATAGACTGACTAGGTAATTTCAACATTTATTCTCACAGAACTAATGGCTGAAAGTCAATGATCAGGAAGCCAACATGGTCAGATTCTGGTGGGATCTGCCTCCTGGTGCAGAGATGGCTGCCTTTCTATTGTATCTTTACAGTGTAGGTTGGAAATGTTCCTATCCTTTCATCTCTTTATAAGTGTAATACTCCCACAACACTGGCTCCACCTCATGTCTTAATTACCTCTCAAAGCTCCTCTTTCCTTCATATATCTTCATATATTGTTTCAACATGAATTCAGGAGGTGGGGGAGTTGAAAAATTAAGTCATCAGCTGTGGCTGAGAATTTCTTAAAGCTGAAACAAACAGTGTGGTGGCACTAGCCTGTAATCCCAACACTCAGGAGGCTGAGGCAGGAGGATCACTGTGAGTTCATGGCCAGTTTGGGCTACAAAGTGAGTTCAAAACCAGTCTAAACTTCATAATGAAACCATTCCTCCAAACTGATGCAAATAAAACAATTACCCTACTGTTTTTCCTTTGCAGAAAAAAAGACCAAAAAAAAAATACTAAAACAAGATGGAAATCTACAGGTGGAAACATCTGCTAAAGGGATGAGCAGGATAATGATAAATACCAATATCTACTACTACAGTGAAAAATTATACCTTTAGGAAAGTTTAGCGCTCAAAATACCAGGACAAAAAGAATTATGAAAATGACAAGGTGCAAAGACTCATCTGGATATGAATTTCCCCATCAGCAAATTTGACTGCCCAAATAACATAAAATCATATCCTTAAAATGCAGAAGAGTGCTTTGCACCTACAATTCTATAATCATACACTCACTCAAAAATGAGAGTAAAAAATGAGGTTTTTAACAATTGCTCAAAACACTTTGTTTAATGAATTATTAAATCACATAGACAATGAGTATAAGAGTAGTCTGCAGGAGGGAAGAATCAAAAATCCTTAATTTTCAAGAATGTACTAATCAATCTTTAAAAAATAACTCCATAACTTTTTGAAATGCTGAATATGTTTGACCAGCTACCCATACTTATAAATATAATAATGAGCATAAACATTAGTATTTATTAAATATTATATATGACATTTATTAATTACATAAATTCATATGTATATGTATTCATAAATTCATATCATGAGTTTATATCAGTCTATGAAAAAAAATTCACATTAAAAGAATCCTGAAGTAAGCCAGGTGTGGTGGTGCATGCTTGTAATCCCAGCACTTGGGAGGCTGAGGCAGGAGGATTGTGAGTTCAAGACCAGCCTGGGCTACAAAGTGAGCTCAAGGCCAGCCTGCCCTGCATAGCAAGACCCTGTCTCAAAAGGAAAAATAAAAAAAAGAATAGTGAAGCAAAGAAATCACCATATTTGGCTGTGGTTAGGCCAACTGTGAGTGTCAGAACTGGGAGCTGGATACAGTCAAGGTCCTGAAGCAACTTCCTTGACCGCTCTGTCCTAGTGAGTCAACATTCCTGCCTCCCATTATGGGTAGTGTACCTGGAACATACTTCCACGATCCAGTCACACTCATGCAGACAGAATTTGCTGCTAGTCAATTCCCAAAGCTATGACATGTCTTAGTTCTCAGTCTTAAAATTATAGTCTGCTCTGCCTCTAATCCACTCAAAAGCTTTCAGAACTGCTTGAAACAAACATCATTAAAAGGAAATATTTTGGTCAAAAAAATTAAGCATTAGCTGTTCCTTTCCATAAACCAATAGAAATTAGTAGTACAATTACTTTAGCTATTTTATGTGTGTGTGTGTGTGTGTGTGTGTGTATGTGTGTGTGTGTATGTGTGTGTGTATATTTTTTCCCCCTTCCTTCTTTCTTTTCTCCTTTCCCTAGCAGTTTCTTTCCTGTTTACAATATTAATTGTACCTTTTGGATTTTTTTACTCTTTCACTTTCTTATGCGAGGGAGACAATACAATGTTTACACATGTGAGTTTGATTTATTTCAGTTGTGAGTATACGCTCTAGTTGCATCCATTTACCTATAAAAACCTTGAGTTTAATCTTTATTTATAGATGAGTGGTACTCCGCTGTATAAAAATACATCTTTTTTTATCCATTCTTCAGCTGATAGGCATTTGGGTTGTTTCCAAGATTTAGCTATGACAAATTGGGCTGCTTGCCAGGGACATAGCTCAGTGGCATAGGCACCTGCCTGGCAAGTACAAGGTCCTGAGTTCAATTCCTGGTACCAAACAAACCAAACCAAAACAAACAAACAAAAACCAAACTGGGCTGCTATAAACATGGGTGCACATATATCGCTGTGGTATCTGGTAACATGAACTACTTTGAAGATAACAATATACAATATAACAACCATTGTTAATTTCCTATCATCATGTTTCAAAATTCTGTACGCTTTTTAATGTTTTTTCTTATTTTGCATTCTTTTTAAAAATAAATATCAATTATCCATTAAAATAACCCAAAAAAACAAAGAGTTGGTGAAAGAGCAAACACAATCACAAGCCTGAAATCCATTTTTCCTTCAGGTATAGACTGCAGGAAGCCCGTTCTTCTGATGAAAGTTTAAGATTATTCCAGAATGATGGGTGCATTGGCTTGTACCTCCCAGGTAAAGCAGAATATTACCAATAAAATCAACCCAATGATTCCTTTAAAAAAGGAAACATTTTGCCTCCCCTCTTGCTCTTGTATCTAGCCTCTTTCTACTCTGCTCAGCTTAATGACTCAGACCTTGATTCAATGACTGGACCACTGGACTTGGTGGTTACTCTTTGTGGCCCTGAGTAACCAATACATTGGTTCTCAAAAGGAGTCTGACCTATACTGTTGTTCTTAATCACTGTATCATTTGCTGCAATGGCAAAGCTACTGTAATTAATTTTTCACACCACCTGATCCCACCTACCCTCAACATTGGATCTTTTTTAACAGGGGTGGCTATGCCCTTAGATCCTTTGTTTTGCCTACTTTTTCTGGGTTCCTGCAAGTAAGTCATGATATGGAACTCTTGGGACTCAGGGTGTTAAAATTTAGACCAGAATGTCCTCCAAAGGCTCAGGTGTTAAAGTCTTGATCTTCAGGTTGGTGTTATTGGAAGGTGAGATAAATTTTCAAGAGATGGGACACACAGAGAGGTTTCAGGTAATTAGGGATGTACCCTCAAAGAGGATTTTAGTATATTTCTTTCTCTTTTCCTGCTGGTCATGAGCTAAGTCCCTTCACTCCATCACATACTTCCTGTCATCATGTACTGCTTTAATACAGGCCCCAAAGTAAACAGGCACAAAAACAGCATGGCCAACAGAACATGGGCTGAAATTTCCAAAACTGCAAGTCAAAATAGTCTTTGCCTTTTTAAAGTGGATTATCTAAAGTTATTTTTTAGAGTAGTGGAAGCCGATTATCACACAAATGTTATGAAGAAATGATAGCAAACAAATAGTTATGAGAAAACATGTTAATTTATTATATGTTTGAATTTCTACATGAGTTGTAGATACACATATGTGATATATAATGTTAGAAATGCACATAACATATATTTACCCATTGTTTGGTGCTTTTTCTAAGTATTTATTATGGTACAGCATAGAAAAACATCTACTCACCTTCCTTGAGTGAATGAGTGAATACATTTCTTTAGATGCAAAATGAACTGATTACCTGCCTCTGTACCTTTCTCAGTTATATTAGACAGTGAGCAATAATAAAAACATTACATAAAATAATAAATAACACAGTAAAAGTTAATACTATAAAATAAACTAGAAGTAAGGAAGAACTTATTGGGCATCAAGTTGATTAGGAGAGCAAATGCTTAATGATGCTGACATGTTATGATTGGCCATTGTGTGGGAGTTTCTGAGTTTATACTTAGTGTGTAACAGAAGTTGTTCAGAAGAACAGAAATAGGCAGAAAAAGTTTTTAACTTGTTGGCACTGAAAATAACAATTCTGAAGCTTATATCTCCTGTGGTCAAATCTTTGGGTCAAATGAGAATTTTTCAATTTGGAGGCAAAGAGAATCTGCCAAAAAATAAGATGCTCTTTGTTATTTTGTGCATGATAAGGAAGAGGAAAGGATGGTCTGCCACAAACTGAGGACCGCTATGACCCGTTCTCCCTGTCATTATGGCTCCAGAACCAGCAGCTGCTACTGTGCCCTCTTCATTGACATCTACTGTGGCTTGATGGAACACCTCAGAAAGAAACAGATCGTTCCCCTCAGACATTCCTAAGAAGTTGGCCTGGCTCTTATCGAAGGCGTCCACCATGCCCATGCTCCTCAGAATGGATTTGAGTTCATAATGCTCTTCTAATTTGAACTGGGGCATATAGACCTCTACATCATCTTCAACTAGTGTGTCTTTGCTGGTCCACTTGTTGAAAGTGTCAAAATTTATCTCATCTTCCAGCTGTAAATCAAAACAAAAGACACATAATGAGTTATGATACATTGTGTCAACTTGAGAAGTTTAAAAGTTTAACTAAGTGACTCAGCAGTGTGCCAGGATCCTCACTTTGTAAACATTCTGAGCCTGTGCAAGAGGAGGGCACGGAGAAAGCGTGCATGCTATACCTACCCGAGGGCAGATAGCTGGCTTATAATATAAGGAAGAAAACAGGCTTGCTCTCCCTCATTTTGCTCTTGTTGCTTTTGCTGTCTTCTGCCACCTTGAAGTGTTGCCCCTGTGCCATGCCCCACTGCCTTGGAGCCAGCTAACTGAGGACGAAAACCTCCACAAATTGTGAACTAAATTAATCTTTCCTTCCTTAACTTTGGGTGTTGGGTATTTTGTCCCAGCAACAACAGCAAAAATGTAACAAACCAGGAAGGAAAACAACTCAAGGTCTAAAGTTAATCTTCACTGAGATTACTGCAGTGTGGGTAATATAGAAATTTAATAGATGATTCAAATTTTTGTAAAAAGATAACATGTATGACATATGTTTAAGGCTTTGAATGAATTTTGGGATATGCCTCATGTACCAACAACTGATCCACATATTTTTGTTAGAAATGCCACTCTGCTTCCTGAGGTGTACAGTTACAGATGTTATTCTTCTCGTGAAAAAGTTATACTTCTCATGAAATGTAAATTTAGCCCAAGAAGTTTGAAACAATTGAAATTGTAATGACTCACCAATGCTAACCCAGTGGACTCTTCTGCAACTGCATCTGGAAGCAGCAGGAACATGGTGACATGTCCTACATAGGGGAGTTCTAAGATCTGAGCCTTTAGGTCCTCTATATAGCCTATGTTCAGCTTTTCACGCAAGTACATCATCTGCACAGGTATGTGTTGTGTCTGAAATTATCAAAAAGTCAAATATCCAAGGCAATTCTAAAGGTCAAAAAATTTAAGAGGCGAAAGAGAGTGAGTTTAATTTCAGTTCAAGAAATGTGTTTTTAAAATCAATGAATTAAATTATTTGTATATCTTTACAGTAGGTAATCTGATCTTTTAGCTTTTTCAAGTTTCTATATCCATTTTTAATAGGGCAGTTAATAATAATAATAATAATAATAATAATAATAATAATAAAGTGCTTCTGCAGTACCTACGGACCAGAAATCCTACTAAAGCTCAGTGGACACTTACAACATTTGAATTGAATATTATATTGTCTTAGTTTTAGAGAGCCAACATGAAATGCATAGAAGACAAGAGAAGATGTAGCTGGTAAGTGTCAGAGCCAAGATTTCCGTCTCTGTATGTATAATAATAAAACCCAGGGCCTTCATCTCTAGTCTTCCTGTCTCTTAGGAAATTACTGAATGATCCTCAGTAGCTCACACCTGCTTCACAGGTATAAGCTATAAATAGCAAGTCATGCAAGAAAATCAATGAGTGGTCTTTAATTTTTCTGTGTCTGGACTTGATGAAGCCCTAAGTATATTTTAGGGACCTGGGGCTTGGCTCATACCGCGTTCACACGGAAAGGATAAAGTCTGTTAAGTTTCTTCTCAAATGGAGTCTTCCATTTTCCTTTGAAATAGACAGCATTTACCAGGACCATCTTGGTCATCTCATCGACAGAGCCTTCAGGTAACAGGTGTGCAATTTTGCCTAAAGAAAACACATGTTGAAGTTTCATAACCAGGAACTGTGAAGCTATAATTTCTTGAATCTTTCAAGTAGCCATCAAGTTCGGTGCTCACATTTGTGAAACTGCAGAGTGTGATCTTCATGCTCAAATTTTTCTCAATATTTACTTAAAGTGCAAGTGAAACTAGGACAAATTTCTCTGAAGATTTGTAAAATCCAGAAGAAAATTAAGAAATACTACATTTAAAGAAAAATAAGGGAAAGGAGATTGTTATTTTCTTCTCTATATTTTTACTTGCTTCTCTCAAGATTTTCAGTTGTTACTTCAGAAGGAAGTGAAAGTGTCTCTAAGTTATCATAAAAGTGTCCCTCTCATCGAATGCTTCTGTACCTGGACTACATAGTCTATGGATTTGAAAAATAAATGGATTTTCAGAACATTTTATGTTACAGTAAACAAGTTAAACAAGAAATGCTGCAGATGTAAGAGATGAGAAAGGAAGAATTACAATGGAGGGGCCTAGAATACTGGAAGAAACAACCAATTGTGAAACACTGGGTAGTAAGTTATGAAACAGGGCTAAATCGTGAAAAGTCAAAAAAAAAGAGGAAGACACTAAAAAAGTGAGGCACACTAGGTTCTCAGAAAGATGAACTGAGCATAATCTTTTAAAACATGGTTCAACGAAGAATCCATTTACAGAATGCACCTGCTCTGCACTATACAAACCATTAAAATACATTCTTTTACTTAACTTTGCTGCTACTGTATTAGACTATAAGTTGCATGATAATAGGATTTACAACTGTTATTTTTATCTCCTTATTCAGTGCCTGGCATTTAGCATGTGGTAGGTAAACATTTGTTGATGAATGAATACATTCAATAACAATGAATGAACGATTTAATTAAGTTTGAGTTCTTGCAAAAAATACACAGGGCAACTGGAGTTTATCAAAGCATCAGGAGTTAAAATGGTACAGATGACTTAGGCAATTCAAGAAGAAATGACACGAGGACCAAAAGTACTTGATAACTAACTTTGAATAGAGAGAAGAGTTAAAATAATTTCACAATCCTTCCCTCTTCCATTTCCAGTATTCTTCACAGCTCACACCAATTACCTGCTCAGTGGCAAGCTTTTTTTCTTGTTTTGCTTTGTTTTGTTTTGTTTTTTTGTCCACAGTAGGCACAGAGTCTCAATTACTTCAATATTAACATTTCCTATGTTTGAAAATTCCTGCTTCTTCTCATGTTTTATATTCTGGTTGTATCTAAAATCTGATTAGTGTAACATATTTCTGGCAGTGGATCTCAATTATTGTTTTCTCACTGAAACATTGTACAGTTAAATAGGGCCAAAGCTGTATCAGCAAAGTAAAGCTAATCAAACTTCAAGTGAATAAGGGTGAAGGCTCAGGATGGTTTAAAAAAGATACTTCTTAGTTTTCTACATGGAAAGAAGAAAAGAAGGTATTTTCTTGCTTTTACCTTTGGTTTGAGTATTGACCCAGGAGTTAATTTCTTTTCTGGCTTCTTCTGCACAGTTTTGAAAGTCTACTTCGTGGGGTTCTGTAGAGTAATATTTCTTAGAGAGTTCGATGTATTCCTTTAAAGCAAGAAAATGCCGAAGGTTATAGAGAATATGTATTGAACATGTCATGGCATAATTGTAAATTACAAACCACGGGTGCAGACTTGGAGGCATGGGAGAGGAGTAGGGTTTGATGCTGGCTATAGTGGTTGAATGAAGAAACAATGTAGACTACAAGTTCTCCATTGCCCCTGTCCCAGTATTCCAGCCCCAACTCTGCCCTCTTGCCTCCCTTGCAGTTTGGACACTGCATAAGGGTAAAGAGTTTGACTCAGGGAGCAATGGCTCTGGAAAACAGTGGGTTAATCATCCTAATTACTCTGCCAGCCAGACATTTGCAACTGGAAGGGGCTGAACCAATGGAGGGAGACTAATGGACAGCAATTACAGGAGACTAGTTTTACGAATTCTGCTTGGAACTCTACATGAGTTGTAGAGAATGACTTCAAAAATGACTTCACTGCTAGCTTGAGGCTCAGCCGTTTCAGTTACAGGTCACTTACTTCCTTAAATCTCATGGACTTCTCCCCAAACAGCTTGTTGACACTTTCCAATAAGTAATCCCCTGTGGGTGCATTGATAGCAGAACTGAGAGACTGGAAGGATGAGTGAATTTTGTCTCTTCCTGGTATCTGAAACAGAAAGAAAGGATTCTCGTTTTATTACACTGGACTGCTAAATAAGATATTTCTTAAGCAAAGACAACATTTTTCTCAACACAATAGCATTATATTCATACATGCATTTTCCTTTAGAGGCATCTCTGGAGTGATTTCGATAAGGCTATGCTCCCACAAAGCTAATCAAGTAAAATATATGTAACTTGCTCCACATTGTACCACCCATCAATTGGATTTAACCAGGAGGTAGCTAACTACAGAGAAAAAATGTATGTTCCTATTCGGGTACCTTCAAAACAGCATCAGGATAGGTTTCCTTCTGTATCTGCTGGGTGAAATGACAGCCAGTGAAGTTCTCTGGGCTCCCTGTGGCAACATCATAGTCTCCAACTTTGTTGAACTGAAGCACCTGGAATCAGAATGGAAGGATGGTGATGCTTTCTAATAAAGTACTTAGTTTAGAAAATTAACGTCTATCAGGTACCTCCAAGTGGCCCCATGTCTGATTCCATACCTCCGTGTGTGGGGAACAAGCACAGATACATTTCTCTACATGATATGGAAATGTCAGCCAATCTAAACTTCCCTTGTAGGAAACTGCATGAGCTAATTTAAACTAATTCATATCCTGGCCATTTTGGAAAACAACTTGCTGTTACATTGTGATTTAGAACCTTTTCCCTAAATTATCTAAATTGTCACCTAGTCCATAAATTATCTTGAAAAATAAGCCAGCATTTTAATGAAAGTAAACAGCTCAATTAGAGAATTTTAGCTCTCTTTGCAGTTTTCTTATATATAAATTGACAAAAATTGCAAGCCAAAGTCAGCTTAAGCATAAAAATGGGTCATTCAGTATGAAGAGCTTACTGAAAATATTTATACCTACTATACTCACATACAGAGAGATATTAAGGTCCTTGGGGTAGGAACAAACCATGGTGATCTGATGACATTATGAACCTTTTCATAATGTCACACTGGCCAGTTTTCATTCTCACAGTGAGGATGGCAGGTGAAAACTGGCTTCTGTGAAGCTCCTGAAGTTTCTTCCCCACAACACTGTTGCCTGCCCAGCTTAGCTGCCAGCTCAGCACCCACAGGGACCACCCCCTCCAACATCCATAAGACCCACTGGTCCTGGGAGACTTCCTCCTGGGATCCCTGGTGTGACATAAATGGGCTGATGGTTTAGGTTTTGCCAGTGAAGGAGAGGCAGGCAGATCCGGCCATCTGGTGAATTACTGCACTGGGGGGAGAAGTGTTAGCACTTGAGTGGCTGTTGTCTGTCCCTCAAGGCCTCTATCATAGTTTCTGCCATCCTCTCTGAAAATATGTGATCCCACTCTGTCCCTACCTACAAGAATGTTATTTATCGCAGCTTCTCTAGTTACCTTCCTTCCAAGGCAATTGATCCTTAAATAAGGGTTCTCCTGGCTGGCACTACCTTCTTGAGTCATCAAAAGGGCCACACAGGTAAATGTCCCTTCAAATGTGGGGAAGAGAGGTGACCCTGGACCATCTTGAGGCCCAAAGAAGGAGCTTGGCTTAGACAGCTCCATGACCTCACTGTAAACACGAGAGCTGGCAGAAATGTTCTTTGCTGGTGTACTGAGCTCCTATAACCTGTGCTTTTCTTCATACCTTGTTTCTTTCTTTCATTCATTACAACTCTACTACCTCTTCCAGGTACACCAATTCCCACCAGGGTGGCCTCTTTCTGTTCTAATTTCCTCATCTATAAAGTGAGTATGATCTCATAATTACCTCATAGAGTTTTTTATTAAGCAAGTAAACTCCCAAGAAGGTCTTGGAAAAGTACCTAGCTATGACACCAACTATTAGCTCTTAGTGCAGTTACTGCTCTGTACCTTACACATTAGCTGTAATTGTCACAATGGTCTTTATATGCCTGCACTTTCATTCCCATTTCATATATGATAAAATTAAGACTCAGAGGATTTCACATACTTAGTAAATGGCAAAGCCTTGGCTTAATGAAAGACAGCTCTGCTTGCAAAACCCGTGCTTCCAGCTCCAGATCAAGGAGCTTCTCTTTCTTATTCAGGAAGCAATCAAGTTAGCATTTGAATTTTGAAACGTGCAGATGTCACAGGGTTAAAAGGAGATTATATAAAATCCTAGCACAGCTCCAAGTTCTGAAAGCATTTTCTAAATATAGAAAAGCTGTATTGTATCCAGAGTAACCAATAAGATGGTTTTTTTCCTTTCATGTTAAAATGAAGGTCTTTTTTAACTTTAAACAAACCAAAGCCCTCATTTAGCATTCATCCTCAAAATATGTTACTTTATATTCTTTTACACTTAAAACCTCGTTTTCTAGGGTTCTCAATGCAGTTTACCATCTGTTTTTTCAAGGACAGAAAATAAAGAGGAAGGAGCATTTCCAAACACTGCTGATATCAGGGTTGAGCAACTGAATTTTGTTGTAAGCCCAGTGCTTCAACTGCCACATGCAAACAGGGTGATCCTTTTGTCTCTTGTCCTTCTGCACTGAGACTGGCCAGTGCTCTCAGTGTGGAACCTCGCAATTCACGGGAGGCCCACCATAAATGGGTCACCTTGTTCCTGAGAAAGATATATTTATACTCAGGTACAATTCTCCGGGGAAACCCGAAACCAGCCCCTGGCATTTTGGTGTGACTCAAAGCACAAAGCATGCTTGTACTTAGTGTAATCCATTTAATATTTGTATAGACGTGAGTGACAAGGAATCTTAACTGTATGCTGGCCACGTCATGGTCACTGACCTAGAAAATAACAGACCGGTGACAATTTTCAGTTTGCTGAATGGGTTGCCTAGAAATGTTGCCTTGAGCAGTCGAAGTGGCTCAACACATTAAGGCCCAGACGCAGTCGAGGGAAGGGTTCCCTCCCTGACTCTATGTCAGTTTACCGAAAGAGGCAGGGGCTTTACACAAAAATCACTGACAATGCCACCTTACTTCCTGTCTGCACTGAATTTGAAGACTGGCCATATATGATGTCGGGCCTCATGGGGTGGATAGGCGCCATAATAGTTCGGGGCTCTCTAAAGCCACATTAACCTGTGTTTCTCTGTGAATGTGTGACCATGGGCAGTACCTATTTTTTTCTGTGACACTCTTAAATCAGTAAGAGGAATTCTTTGCAGCAATGGGGAACAAACACACCAACCACAGTGGCAGAGTGATGGGAAGGAGACTAAACTAAGACTAAACTGGGAAGGAGATTAAACTAGGAATCCATGGGCTTCGCTCACGCTGTCAAGGTTCTCATCTCTAACATGGTGTTTATCTTAAAACAAAGTGCAGTAAAATGTGTGCAAAATATTCCCTTTGGAAAGAGGACTAATATCTAGAATATATAAAGAACTCGAAAAGATTAGACCACCAAAAATAAAAGACCCAATCAAGAAATGGGCAACCGAAATGAATAGACACTGGTAGGAAGTAGAAATGGCCAATAAACACATGAAAGAAATGTTCAGCATCTCAGATCATTAGGAAAATGCAAACAGAAACAACACTGAGATTCCATTTACTGAAAGAATGCCCACCAACAAGAATCAGGTACTCACAAATGCTGGTGAAGCTGTGGGGGAAGGAACATTTCTGCATTATGATAGAAATGCAAACTACCCCAACCACTTCAAGAATCAGGATAGAAATCCCTTAAGAAACTAAAACTAAGAATTCCATTCAACTCAGCTATTCTCCTTCTAGGTATTTTTCCAAAAGAGTTAAACACAGTATATTTCAATGATACACATAACCTACAATAGCTAAATCTTGGAATTGGCCTATATATCCATTAACAGATGAATGAAGAAAATGTGGTGTTTATACACAATGGATTTCCGCTTCACCATAAAGAAGAAGAATTTTGTCATTTGTAGGAAAACAGATGCCCTTTAAGACTGTAATATTTAGTGAATTAAATCTAGAACATGAGCTTAAATATCATATGGTTTCTCTTATTTGAGAAACACAAAGTATAAATAATTTAAAGGGCAAAATGAAAGACAGATGATAGGAAACAGGGAGATAGAGCTTTTGCAAATGGGAAGAGAACCAAGAGGTGGAAAGGGTGAGAGAAATAGAAGGGGAAGTAAGAAAGAATTAATTTGTGTTGTGTACAGGTATCATTCCCATGAAGAATGTAATCATTATGTACTGCAAGCCTGTACTAACAAAAATGAAAAAAGTATGAGTATTATGTTATTAAAAAGAATGATGTCACACTTATCTATTTTCAGCCTAGCAGGTAATAGAGTCTGATATGCCTTTTGCTACCTACATTTGAGGGATCTTCTGCTTTGGCTGTTCTGTAATTTAATTCTAAGGAATCAGAGTTGTAAGGACAGAGTTGTGCTTTATTAGGATGCCACAACCGTTGCCTCTTTAGTTAAGATGACCTGGGCATAAAACAAGGAATCACTCAATCATAGTGCAGAACTTCATTGCAAACTTACCTGGGCCATCTGGTCTTCAGTGTTACCCCTGGAACCGAGGTAGACAATAGCCATAGTGGATGAGATGCTCCATGGAGAGAGGAAGAGATTCTGGGTGGGATTTGTTTTTGCCACATGCTTGAACAAATTGAGTGCAAAGATAGTGTTTGCCACATAAAGGTCTTCCATTATTTCAATCTGGAAGAAAAATGGAGAATGGAAAATAGCTCCAAGTGGCAGTGTAGCATTTTGGGTGAGGCTAGTGAGCAGTGTAGCTAGCTATACCCTGCATCTTCTTCACGGGATCACGAAAGGGAGGACAGGGAGAGCTTCAAGGTCATGCAACTATGCGTCCACTAAGACCCCAGGCTTGATGCTATCCTCTTAACCATCAACCTCTTCACATACTTAATGTTAAACACAAAGCCCTGCATTTTCATTTTTCACAAGACCTTGTATTATGTAGAAAATCCTGAGATATATCAAACAGTTAATTTTATGAACAGTAGTAACAGTGTATGTCACTCCACAGAACATGTATAACAACTGCAATAACAATGAATGACATTCATTGAGTTCTTATTGGCCAAAAGTGCTCCTGTTAATACTTTATCTGTACTATTTAATCTGTACCATTTTATCTGTACCATTTAATCCTCACTAAAATCCTGCTATTTCTGTCTACAAAGAAAGAAATTGCTGCCCGAAGAGGCGATGTGCCCATTGACACTCAGCTATAAACGATAGGAGTAGGACTTGGAGCCAGTTAGGGAGCCACCAGGGTGAGGTTCTCCACATCAGCCACACCCATGTACACCCTGCACATATCCATACCACACACACACACAGGCATGCATGCATACACACAGGTAGACACACGTATATTCAAATGTGTGCTAGGTGCACACATTTCCCAGCTGGCTGCACTGAGATGACCCACCTTCTTCTTTTTTTTTTTTCTTGATGAATAAGTTTATTGGTCTTTACCTGAAAGAGTATTCGTAGAAATTTGGTTTAACTCTCAGCAGCCTGTGCCTGAGCTCTGAGGAAACTTGCCTTCTTTTGAGAAGAGGTAGAATCATCCAAAAGTATCCCTTGCTCAGAAGAAAGATCGGGTGGGCCCACTTTCTTTTAAGTTCTCTGCTTCCAGATGTGTTTAGGGTCAGGTAGTTTGAGGGTTAGTACTTTCACCCAGCACCTCCTGATCCTCCTCCTACGTACACCGCAAACATATGGCCCTGCTACTAAAGGACTTCCCATTCTGTGGAGCTTGTTAGTGGGGGTAGTGGTAGAGTTCTTTTCTTCTGTCATTCTCCCATTGATGTAAGGGAATCAATGTCAGGTAGGAATGCAGGGAAAATCCCAGGCACAATATATGAAACACACTCACTCAACCTATCACCCATCTGAGAATAAACAAAACACACACCTTTCATGGCTTAGAGGTCTGTATGTAACAATGCTTGAATACACCCAAGCATTTGTGTGTGTGTTTGTGTTAATACCAAACAAACTTTCTAGTTGTATGTTTTCCTTTCCTCATAGTTTATACCATACCTGATAATTACCAATATACATGTGTCAAACAATGATGACATCCATCATCTCTCTGGCCTTCTGTGACAATCACTTCTCAGATTCCCTAGGAGGTGCCATGCATTTTATCTAGCAGGGCTTTACAACAAGAACCAGCTGTCACTAGTCTCTCTTATCCAGAGTGTGTTGTGTGAACCCTTCATTGATTAACTCTTCTTTGCCAAGAAAGTGATTAGAATTTGTATCAAATTTTCTCATTTGAAATATGATCCAATTGTATTTTATCAAGACAAAAACAGTAAATTAATGCTTGTTCCTGAAACTCTCTTTCTCTGTTTCCTCATTTAATCTGTATAGTAGCCATATGTGATAGGTAGGACTACCTCAATTTTATATTATATCCTGATTCTCAGAGAGGTTAAGTAACTTGCATAAAGTCACACAGCTGCTGTGTAATGTTGCAGGGAGTCCAGCCCACATCTGCATCAGAAAGGCCACTATTTGGGCTGGGGACTTAGCTCAGGGGGCACAGCACCTGCCTGGCAAGCACAAGGTCATGAGTTGGATTCCCGGTACCGGAAAAAAAAAAAGGCCACTATCTCCCATATGTCTTGCTTCCTCACTGGTGGATATATACCTTCCCTGAGATGTGTCAGAGTTTAAGCAAACTATAGCTTAAGAAACACTAGAAAGAAGAAACAAAACGAGGGAAGTAGTGAATCTGCAATACTCCTAGAAAGCTCACAAAATTTTTTTAAAAACTTTTCTTTCTTGCTTCGTCCCTTGGTGGCTCAGAAATTTGTTTCTTTTACCTTGTACTGAATTTTAATTTTAATTTTTATCAATAATTAGACTCCAATAGGTCTTCTAAATAAATTATCCAATCACGTTTGGGAACCAGCTGAGTATTGAAAATATAAAAAAAAAAAAAAAATTTCTCTACTGTCTTATGAAAAGAAAAACCAGAAATCAGCCAGAAAAATAAATGTTGACTTGTCCTATTCTTGGTTCTTTGTAACACTCGACATAGTGAGCCAATCACTTTTATCTTAACAAAATTTAAGTGTCCAGGCAAACCATCAGAAAGAGCTGCTAATGCTAAGTTAGGATTTAAAGTAACTTGATAAAGAACAAAAATTCAGTAAGAACAGAATTTGTCCCAAATACATTTACTTTTAAAAAAAATCTTCTGAATCCCATTTTTAAAGTGGGACACAATTAACTGCATTTAACATAAAAGAAATTGTCTGCGATATTTAGTTACCTAATGACTTCAGCGACATTTTTGTTTAATTTGCACAATCACTTGCTCAGTAAAGTGTAGGAATTTCTGCTACACTGATGAAAATGTGAAGGTGCGCACTGCAGTTTCTTCACGTCAGAGCCTAGATCAGACCTAGGTCCGAGTCTAGAGCTTTTTTACAAACATTTCAGGTTAGGATTTTAGAAATTGAAAACACTATACTCATAGTGTTTCCTGAATCTTATGGTGTTTCCACCCATTTGGATGGGAATCTGCCAAGACAAAGTATGACTGAATTTACAGAGTGAAGTCTGTACCATAGCCTCCCAGAGCAGATACATCCAGAAGTCCTTAATAATACAGTAAGTCATACAATTTCATTGTCTTCCAAATATTATGTTTCCAGTAATACTATCACTTAATATTATCATTGGAAATCAGGTGCAGGGCTGGGCTCCCTGATGTGTGTTCTGGTTCCGGCTGTGCAGGTTTTTCGCTGCAGTCCTGAAACCTGGCAGAGGTAAGGATTCAGGTAGGGCCCAAGCATGTGGCTATAGCCCCCTTTTCATCAGCTCCGGGTGTGAGACTGAGTCTTTTTAACATCTAAAACAAATATTTTGTGTGACTACATAATGCAAGTAACTTAAAATTGACCTTAAAAGTCATTGAAAACTAAGAAAGAAAATAGTTGTAAGGAAATATCCCTTCAAAAAATACCACCTATCTCTCTGACAAGTTGGAAGCAATTTCTTTTCGTTGACAACTTTCAAAAGAAATATTTATCTGTTATGGAGTGTTAAATTAACTGTTTACTCAATCCATCAATTAGTTCAGCTGATTTTTCTCTTTCATGTAATTGATCCATTCTTCAATTAATGTCAGTAAGTATATTCTGATACTGGATTGATCCAGCCCAAATTGCTGTTTAATTTCTATAGTTTCTGACTATTAATTTTAAAAGAAAACTGAGTTTCATTTTCCTTTCATTTATATATAATGTAAATATTACTTTTGGTGACTTTACTAAAAATATTTTAATTTATGTAGATATTTCCAGCAAATGCATTTTCAAAGCACTAGCTAGTATAGAATATATACATTTCAACCTGTTCAGTAGCATTACCATTACACCTAGATTGTACATTTTGGTTTGGGTAATACTAATTAGGCATTTATGGACTTCTAAGGTTCAAAATTAAACTTCATTATAAATGTAATTCAAATTTTGAACTAAAACTTTATCAGTTAAATAAACAATTAGCCAAGATAACACCACTACTGTCCACAAACATCCCATATTTGAATTTTTAATGCTAATAATGCCAATATGAAGGAAAAGAAAGAAAAGAAACCATGCATCTCATTGAGATAGGCATGGAAACTGCAGAAATACCTTGTTCTCTGAGCTGCTGTCAGACTGGAAATTCTCCTTTGGAGAGTGTCGCAGTTCAGACCTGGTAATGACTGGTTTTATAGGGCTCTGCCCCTCCCACACAACCTTTTTTTTCTTTTCGATTCGTATCCTTTGTGTGATTCAACATTTTACTCAGAAGGACATCATTAAAGTACAAAGGGCATAGCTCAAGAAACGTTTTGGGAAGATGACTTCATCAGAAATTTAAGAATTCAGCAATATCTACATGTGATTTTCAAAATACCTAAAGCTCACCCTCTCCACACACAACACTCTCAAATCTTTCTCTCCTCAACTTCTGCTGCACGATGATAATTCCACACTACCCCTTCTACCTCTGAACATACATTACCTGCAGGCTTTCTGCAATATGAAAAGTTAGGGTGGGTGATGCTTCCTCTCTTCTGAGCCTAGACAAAGGCAAGTGATCTATGGACACAGGAAGGAAGAGAAAAACCACGATTTTTCTTTCTTAGAAATTCTCTATTTTAAACCCTTGCCATTTCCTCAAGCTCTGATATTTTTAATAATTCTGAGTTGCACCCTAATTTCCTGTCGTAAGCCACACCCAAAGAAGTTTCATGTGCTCTTGTTTAAACCATAGATGTTATCCTGTTTAAGGGAACCAGTGACAATCCACCATTGGTTCACAGTTTTGGACAAAGCATGCCCATTAATTGAAATTGTGATCTTGAAAACGAGAAAATCATCACATTTTTAGATACAACAAAGGAATTTTGTAAACCAAAGTAGTTGAAATTATAATTATAAATCTACAATGTTCATTTTGTTAGAATTTGAAGCATATTTGTCAAGGCAATTTTTCTTTTCTTGACTTTCTGTTGATGTTGATGTTGATGTTGATGTTGATGTTGATGTTTATGTAGAGTGGACAAGGATGAGGAACCGTGAAGACGCCATACTCCTCAGTTGGTGTGGAAGCTCTGTGTCTGTGTCTGATGAGCCGGGAAAACAATCTGCTGTGTCTATGAGGCCAAGTCTGGGTTTGAGTCCTGCGTGCCCGTTGTGGGTTGGTCATGGTTGGCAGCACCAGAGGTTGCTCTTACCTTGCCAGTGTGAGTCTTTGGTCACAGAGGACTTGGGATCTTAACTCAAACACTTTCCTATTATAAGAGGATCAGTGGGTGGCCATGTTCTTCAGAATCTTTCCAGAAGTCAAAGCCCAAATTGGTTTGTTTTTTTAGTTACTAAAAGATCTCAGATCATAAAAATAAAAAGAGTTGCAAGCCTATTCCCATCAATGATCTTTCAACCCCTTAAGTTGCCCCATTAGACCAAAGGAAATTTTGGACCACTACAGGGCCCTTTGCAAGTTTTATCACTCCGTGGTACCCAAATCTGTCATCCAAAGGGAGAGCAATAAATCATTTCTTAGTGACCACTTTCCCATTTTCCCCTTAGACTCCTGTAGAGCCTCTCTGATAATGATTATGTGATCAATCTGTTCAGTTGTTCTTTTTCCACAGGCTGGTAGCTCAGCAATTTGCTGCTGATCCTGAATGTACTTAGAACTTCAGCCACCCTTTGCTTCACTCCATTTGTCAGATTGTGCTGAAAAGGTCCCACCTTACTACTTTCCCTCAGGTCATTCTTCTCAAGGGAAATGTCATCCTTCTCCCTCTGATCCAAATATGTGAGTTTCTGTTTGCACCCCATGGCTTGCTTCCATGTAGTCTTCTCTGAGTTTTAAAACTTCTGGTGAGCCCCTTCTATGTAGAAACGCAGCTCTTACCCCAGAGTTTACAACAGAATAATCTGGTGCATTTCTGTTGTTTCATAAGTTATGCACCTATCTCTAATTAAGTAATACACTTGGTTCGTCTTCAGCAGAAAGAACAATGATAAAAATCGAAAAGATTGTTGCTAAACATTGGTGAAGTAAGTGAGATGTTAAACCCCTCTCCGGAGGCCCTTTAGTGAGGTAGTTAGACTTGGAATGATCTGGTTTAAATCCTCTTTTGCCACTTACTAGCCATATAATCTTACACGTTTCTAAACCTCTGTGAACTTTAATTTTCTAATAACATTGCATAATTTGTACTGTTGATTTTCTATACAAAAGCAGTTTTATTCTACAACTCATCTTTCCGATTTTGTTCAAATATTATCTGGAGGGGCTGGGGATTTAGCTCAGTGGCACAGTGCCTGCCTGGCAAGCGCAGGGTCGTGAGTTTGATTCCTGTACCGGAAAAAAAACCAAAAAACAAAACAAAACAAAACAAAGCAAAACAAAATATTATCTAGAGATTGTATGATCTCAAGGGTGGATGTATAAATCTATTTCTTGACAACCTGTTACAGCAAAATTTGAGGAGGGGGGAAGTTCAGGAAAATATTTTCCTCCCTGATAACACTGAGCATGGCAATTTTACAATGCAGGGCCAGAAGGTGCTGCAGGCCTGAGATACCGGAAAGTGATAGAGCCCTGAGACAGCCACGGAGAGAGGCTGGGAAATTTTCAAAGATGCCAGATCAGAGCTCTTACATCAGAAATTTCCTAAGCAGATATCAGAAACTACTTACTTGCAGTGTTTGCACTTCTTGTTGTTATGTGAGATAATAAATAATAACTATATTATTTAAGCATTGTTAGACACTTTGAATCCTCTGGCAGTTGCAGTCAAAAGCATTCTTAAATAACATCGGTTTTTGTGAAGAACCAATGGGGAAATATTTGTCCAACACTTAATGTTCTGTTCTTCCCTTAGTAAATGCCAATAGTATTAGCCAGTATAAAGGAGTGGTTGTTGGTGGTCAGGTTTGGGAGCTGTTTTCTTGCCAAGAGGAGAACAATTTCACAAGTTCAGCACAAGACAGGAGTTTCACATGTTAAACAACTGGAGAAAGTTGGAAAAGATAATACAAAATTAAGAGCCAAATTGGCTGCTGCCAATTTATCCTAAGGGATAGAGAAAAGGATTGATAATATCCGTAAGACCCTTGAGCAAGGAATCAAGATAATTTTTTTTTATCATTGTTTTCTTGAGACAGATCTCCTTATGTAGTTCAGGTTGTCCTTAAATTCACTATGTAGCCCAGACTGACCTCAGATTCATGGAAATCCTCCTTCCTCAGTCTCACAAGTGCTGGGATTAAGATACATTTCACAAAAATGAAAGATAGGAAAGAGATAACCCTAAAAACTACAGAAAGAGGAAACAAAAATCATCGAATAGTTTCCTGAAATCTGCCTGGAGCTGAGTTGGTATTACAGGAGAGGTAGAGGAAAAAAAAGGAGATGGATTTGTAGAGGACCCTCTGACAACAGAGTTGCTATCGAATCTAAAGGCATCCTACTCTAAACTCTGCAAAAGGGAAGTAAAAAATGTTCTAAAAAGAAGAACGTGGAAGTTCAGAAAAGAAAGAATGTAAAGGAGAATTTTTCAGAATCCCCAATGACCCATCTAGTAAGTCACTAGAAGAAAAAAACAAATTCACCACGAAGTCTTCCTTATCACTGCAAAATAAATACGATTAAGTTCCTCCCAGTAACCTGAAATAGCACTTGTTACGTTGCAGGTCAGATCACTCCTATGCAACTGAGAACAGTGAAACAGTCTCTTCTTATTTTTAAAGAAAATGTCTGTGAGATAATTAACAGAACAAAAAGAAAAGATATAAGATTATATATAGTATAACCTCAACTGTGTAAATGAAATATGTGCTGAAACATGACTTAGAGGGAAATGTATCAAAACTGGGTGGTGATTTTATAGATATTTATCATTTTTATACTTCAGAGAAATTCCCAAGTTTCCTAATAGATAGGAATTACTTTTAAGATTAAAATATATTGTCAAGTGTCTCCTGAAAGTGTTTTCCTCCCCACTGAATCATATATAGAGCAGAAATAATACCTTAATGAAGGAAATAGCTCTATGAGTGAAGTGCTACTATTTTAGTTTGAAGACCTGCATACATTGTGCTTCTTCTTTGATACATGTGTCCAATGGTTACTGAGTGGGCTGTGATTAACCTTTCAGGGCCTGTGCCCTTACTGCATGGTGAGGACCATGAGGTCCTCTGCCATGATATTCTCCGGTCGTTAGAAGAGGCAGTTGGTGCAGATTGTGTTCGGCATGTTTCGATTCATTTGAGTTCTCTCCACTTTGAATGAGCAACTACTGAGACTTCTAGAATTACCCATTTTACATGATTTGCTGATAGACTTGGAGTATATAAGTTACAAAAGTATATAGCCTCTACAACAGCAGTAAAACCATTAACATTATACAAATCATACTATTGTTAGTCAGGAAGGAAGTACGTAAAATTCCATACAATAACATTACCTTATTGTTGATTTTGTTAGAAATTTTTTTCATGTTTTTGTTTTTGTTTCCCAATATAAAAAGTCAAGATTATTACACCAATCATCTCAAATAAAACCATGCAAAGCAATTCATTGTGTACAAGGGTCATTGCTCCCCTTCCATTTTTCTGCTTTTACAGTGGTGTGACCGATAGAAAATTGGACATACTGTGCTTTGCTGGAAAATATCATCTCTCTATAAAAACACACAGGGCACTTCCTACCTTGTCTGCAGGTCCATTTACAATGACTGCTTCTAAATATTGAATCCCTGTTAGTGTATAACAAATGCAATTAATACTATTTAGCCGTATTATTCAGATAAGTGGTTTATACTAGAAGTTTAATGAGATCTTGTTTTGAGTACAGGTAGGTGAAGGCAGTCACTTTTATGGTGCAAATTTGGGGACCCCTTGGCTAAAACATCCTTCACTATATACTTCTTGAAAATTTTTTGTCATACTAAAAATGTTTTCTTTTATTATTAGCAATAAAATCTAACATGTTGTTAGCTCTGGCAGAAATGTGACTCGTATCTGAATTCCTGTAGAGAGGTTTTGGTTGGGGAAGAGTGGTCAGAAGGAGTTTCTGGGTGTGAGAAGAGGATAAGCAAAAGAATGAGAAGGCTTTGAATCCGTGTGAACGTAGGACGCAGAGAGGAAAGCTTTGGAAATGCAGGGCAATGGAAAGCAGACTTTATTTTAAGATATAGCCTTAGGCCAGCTACGAGTGTGAGAAGTTTCCACAAGAAACAGCTTTGTTAGGGAGTGTAACACTTCTGACCAAGTATTTATCTTGTTACCAAGTTATGATCTCAACACAGATGCCATAGTTGCTAAGATGTGGGAACAAAGATTCAGTAGTCTATGATTCAGCCAGTAAGAGCTGTCATTCCAAAAGCATGCAAAGAAGGATTGAATTTTCAGAACAGCCACAGAATGTATTGTGAATCATCTACTATAGATATACCAGGTGAAACTGGATGCCTACATTAAGGTGTTTCCTGGGAGGAGGTAAGGGTACAATGTTTTGACTCATATAGCCTTAACTCGGCATATCACTGAACTCTCCATTATCCTTGTAGATCATTTATGGACAACTGGGTTATTTATATGAGTTGATTTGCAAGCATTAATTTAGTTTCTCTCTTATTTAGCATGTTACTATTGCCTCCTGGCCAATGTTGTATGCTTAGGAAAAGTAGTACATTTTAATGTTAAATTTCATAAAATATACTCAGAAAAATAAATATATAGATAAATAAATTAAAATAAATATTTAACCATAGTTATAAATCTATAACTATGATTATAGGTTGCATTCCAAATCCAAATGTCACTTATTTTTGTCTTATCTTCTGATGGAGTTCTGTATCTTTCTTCATTAAGGGAAGATAAAAGATCAGGTCAACTGACATTTGCCATGAAAATACATACGTTTCTATCACACAGATTTCAGATTTGGTCCTTTTTAAAGTCACTGAGAGAAATACTTTGATTTCTAGGAAAAAATTTTTAAAGAGAAATTAAACAAATTATGAGTGTCATGCATTTTATTTCAGGGTTGGACCAGAGAATTTTCATAGCTTTTTATTCATGACAGCTTTATTTAGACTATTGTAAAAATGAGGAGGAGGGAGTAGAAGTGATTATTCAGTTCTTCTCCTGTTAATTAGTCCTAAAGCACTGAGTAGTCCATAGGCAGGAAGATGAGTATGTGAATGGGATGTGAGTTATGGGAGGGCAACCAAGATTCTGCAACTCTATCTCCAGCCTTGAGCTTGCTTTTTGTCTTGAGACCGTCAACCCCTCCTTCCAAGAACATTTCCACTTGACCACTTTGGGGCTGCACCGGTTTCAGGGGTCCGAAGTTGGACACATTATTTCTCCATCATTTTTCTGAAACTCTTTTCTGTATCTACTTCTCATCTGTCTACCAATCGACCAAGCTAAAACGGAAGCAGCATTTTTCACTTTTTGAATCCACTTTCAAATCTGCCATTTATCAGGTCACACTAATTTTAGCTTCAAATATTATTTGACTATTTTACTCTACCTACTCCACTCCTCTCTTCTGTTCTCTCCTCTTCTGTTCTCTTCTCTTTTTTCTCTCCTCTCTTTTCTTCCCTTCTCCTCTCCTCTGCTCCTTCTTTCTTTCTTTCTTTCTTTCTTTCTTTCTTTCTTTCTTTCTTTCTTTCTTTCTTTCTTTCTTTCTTCCTTCCTTCCTTCCTTCCTTCCTTCCTTCCTTCCTTTGTTTCTTTCTTTCTTTTTTTTTTGTGGTTCTAAAATGATTTCCCTTTCACCAGTCTGCATCACCATTGGCCTAGTCTCTGTGTCTCTAAGGTCTTGGTCCTTAATTCATAAAGTTGAAATATTAACAGTAAAAATCTAACCCAGACATGATTTCTTGATTTCTTCAATACATCCTCATTAAATACAGATAAAGTCTGAACTGAGTTCATATGATTCCACGGACATATGTGGACTGGCCTCACTGCAATCACAATGAGTTGAATGCTCTACATAAAGTCTTTATCATCATGTCTTGCACATAGTAGCTACTCAAAAATTGTTAGCATTAATGGCTACTATTACTTGTACTTAGCAGTGACTACATTAATTACTACTATTACCTTTACTTTAACAGTTTTATCCAAGTTCTGCTTTCACCTATTTATTTCCTCTGTAAGGCCTTTAAAAACAGAAGCTGTGTATTTTATGTTTTATACAAATAGCTCACTAGCCATGCCCACTTAGTGCTTTTTGAACTAAAAGGAAAAAAAGCTTTTGTGGCTGTTTTGACCCTCTTTAGCACTACTGACATTATCTCAGTGCATGGCCTTCCTGTTTTTCCCCTTTTAAAATATCTTGCAGGACATGGTGTGTTGAAGAGTGAGCCCAAAGAACTGGCTCTGAGGAGAATATTGGGATCTTAAACCCAGAGCCAGGGTAATATTAGAGGCAGGTGCTTTACAACACTCCCTCAGCAAAGGAACCAAATCTTGAATGTGGCTGGCTGCAGCAGTCACTGAGGGCCTCAGAGAGCAGCTGGGAAATATCTCCTCTACCCAGGGTGTGGGTGAGGATGCCACAGGAGCTGGGAGCCTGAGAAAGCTCTAAGTAGGGGCTGGGGATTTAGCTCAGTGGCAAAAGCGCCTGCCTGGCAAGCGCAAGGTCATGAGTTCGGTTCCCAGTATCAGAGAAAAACCAAAAAAAAAAAAAAAAAAGAAAGAAAGAAAGCTCTAAGTAGTGAGCATGTATCAAGTACTGGGAAAGAAGACTGGGAAAGGTGGTGAGAGTTAAAGGCTACCAGACGGGGAGTCACGAAGGAGGAAGGTTCTTCCACTTGCCTTGATTCTCTAAGTTTTGTATTGAACACTTGGCTACAGACAGAAGTAAATGAAACTTTTAATGGGAAAACATTTTTCAAGATGTTGTTGAAATCAGATTTCATGTAAGATTATGCAGGTTTTACAAAAGCATTAGCCTCAGAGAAAGAAATTGTGTAAATGATTTATGAGTTTGCCAATGAACTGACAAGGCTAATGGGACCGTGCAAGGAGCAGGACACTACAGATTCCCATCAGGTTGGTACTTGTGATGATTTTTTCCCTTGTCATTTGGCTCTAGATGCTTAGTCTATGTCTTTAAAAGTTATGTGTATCTGAAGGTTGAGTGAAAGGAATGAATGTCCCCCAGCAAATTATTTCTAGTGATTTTTCTCCTGTTACCCTTCCAACATTATTTTAATTATTTCTCGGTGATAGAAATATTTGTACTCATATATCTGTTGTCTTAGTGTGAAAATGCTGCTCTCTCTCTTCACACACAGGCAAGGCATGGTACTGAGTAGGATATTTAACTTTTCTATAGTAGCAGCTTCTTCATACTGAATGGCTCTTTGACTCATCAGAACAGGTTATACATTGCAATAGTCTCATATCTCTTCAAACATGGCTAAGAACCCGGGTATAGGTGGAGAAATGAGAAATAAATCCATAAGGTTGATTCAACAAGGAGTCTAGAAAACTTTCTTTAGTGTTCAAGGGTGAATGTCTTATACCTTTGTGACTATTTCTGAGAGTTATAAATGCTTAGGTGCTTTGCAACAGGTTTATGTTTGCCTTAATGTGAGTACATAAATCCCACTTTAAAAAACTTTGGAGAACTTCAGCATTAGCGAAGATCCTTTTGTCATCACATTTTTTAATGAAGAGTCATGATCCTCTCTCTTGCACTTGTGACTCTTGCATGGTATGCTTTTTCTAACGTGGCATCACAGTTTTGAAGTAAGATCCTCTTTTTTGCAATCATATTGATATGTAAAGATAACTTCCCCAAATTTCTGCTATAGTTACTTAAAAGATAATAATACTTATGAATTTCAGCAGTGCAGGCTAAAGTTATGAAGTGGAACAAATCTGAAGAGAGTTATACACTATATGTGTAAAGCTAAGAGTATTGATGTTATAAATGAAATAGTGTAAGTAGTGTTAGGCAGAATATCTAATCCTAATAACCATTTGATACTAATTGCTTTTGTTATAAATTATGTTCAATTTTATCTCCAATTAGTGCTGCACTGAAATTTAACAATAGTTATACAGTCATAGGTAAGTCTATTCTTTGAACTTCTCATTCTTTATATAATGAACCCATGTAACTTACATGGTCCTTTATAATTCATAAAACACTTCAATGTACATTATCTTATTTATGTTTCTCAGTAATTCAGATGAAAGACTATTTTATAACTGAGAAAACAGTCAAAAGATTTGACCCATTAGTAATGAATGGTAATGGATTAAATTAAACCTAAGTGCTTTAGTCCAGTATTCTTTTCATTGACAATAGCTTTCATGGTCTTTCCAATTTGAAAAGTATTTTGCTGTTTCTGTAATTAAATAGCTATTAGAATTTCAATTACAGAAGCAATCACACTCTGGACTTGCTCATTTCCTACTGAAATTAACAAGTGGCAAGTCCTCAATGAATGTGCTGAGTTGGATTTTCCCTTGGCTTTTCTCCCTCAGACAAGGCTGTACAACACCCTGCCACTGCTTATCACTAGGGTCTGGTTCAGCCGGGGTATGCCAGAAAGCAGGGATAATTTTTGCTCAATATTTCAGTAAATTATATCCACAGGAAAAAGAGAATAGAATAAAGAGGAAACTGTAAATGAAGAAGTAGCAATCATTTTTAGATTAGGCAGCATGTTTCTGAATTTTATGGGAAAGATGGTGACGTGTTTACCTGTGTTTTGTGACATGGATTATGTCTAGTAGAAGAATAACACGGCCTCAGGGTGTCAGTGCAGTGCAAGAATGTCAAGGTCTTATTCTCCCAGTTGACACATAGTATTTATTTCTGGAGCAATAAACTTCATCTGTATTCAATGACTGTGTAATATGTTGGACAGAATGCTACTTCATCCTCATTGGTACAAACTGCTTTAATTAATTTTAGGGGAGGGTCAATTACAGGTATTATGTTTTGTTGAGTGGGCTTGACGGTTGGGTTCTGGGAGATTTTATGTGATGGGCATCAGTTGTTATTTTAAATGTTATTTTTGTAATTTAGGGGTTTTTTTGTTTATTTGTTTTTCTTCCAGTACCAGGAATCAAACTCACGACCTTGCGCTTGCCAGGCAGGCGCTTTGCTGCTGTGTAATTTAGTTTTTAAGTTTCAATAAAGCCATACATATGATTTTTCCTCCCACCTTTCCTACTGCTAAAATCCAATCCAATTTTAAAAGTCCATTTAACTAATTTGGTATTGTCCTCCTTATCTCTAAAAATGCCTTGTGTAGCTGCTGGTTAGGTGGTTTTATGCACTGACTATTCCTATTACATATAGAAATATTTCCCATCCTGCCATACTTCCAATGATAATACAAAATTATGGTTAGATCAACATTTGTCATTTACTTTATTATGATGTGTGCATGGAATTCACAGCTGAGCCATACTGTATGATTGTACTCCCTGCAGATTTTGTTTGCCTGCCGTTACTGTCTTGTTTTTTTTAATTGGCTTATTTTGTATGTACTTACCACCAGCTCAGCCATCATCCTCTCCTATTTGACTAAATCTTATTTTAATACACTTAAACACTTGAGAAGTTAAAATGTATTTCATTTTCTTTGAGTAATCATTCCACTCTGAGCCTCTGATCATCTCCAAGCTGGTTTGCTGTCTAAGTCTCCAAAGACTGGACCCCTTGTGTGACCATAGAATCCTGAGGATATTTTTAACCACTCTCTTTTGCTGCATTCATTCCTCACCATCTTCTTTCTGATTTATTGGCTTATTTTGGGGGGACACATTCTTCAGCAGATATTTCAGAAAAAGATGTGAGTATAAGTGTTTGAAGAGTTAAATATCTGAAAATGCCTTTTCTCTTTGTTCTACTAAGTTGATAGTGTGGTGCATATAAATTCTAAATTAAAAATATTTCCATCCAAAATAGAAAGTTTTTTCCACTATATTCTGGGCTCTCTTCTTGCTGTCACAACTCCAGTATCACCCTAGGCTTTGATCTTCAGTATGTGGATTAATTTCAGACTCTGGAGCTTGTGGAATTTTCATTTCCAGTTTCCTGAAATTTCACAAGGTGATGCCATATGGTAGTTGTACTTTCATCTATTTTACTGATACTCGGTAGGTTCTTTTCCTGGAAGCTCTTGTCACTAAGTTCTAAAAAACCTTTCTTGAATCAGTCTTTTGTCCTTTTCATTCATTTTTCCTTATTTTTCTAATATACTATTTGATGTGTAGAAGGGAATATTGCCATTAATTTCTGCTTGCTGTGGATTCTTCCTCTTTCTACTTTCTCCCTTCCCTCCATTCCACCTGGTAAATGTAACTGAAATTATAGTATTCATTCCCTAGATTTACTTTTATAACTCCAACACATGAAAGTCTGCCTAAATAATATGCTATTTAGTTTTATCTGTATGTGTGCTTTATAAATATCTGGCATTACCTTATGCATATCTAGGACAAAAGTAGAACTTGTTTGGTTGAGGGCTTAATAATCAGTACCTTAGCCTTTGCAGGCCATAAATGACCTGTGCCCAATGCCCACCTCTGTCCTGCAGTAGGAAACAAATATCAAAAACAGGTGTGGCTAGTTCCATTACAATATTACTTACAAAAACAAGTGATATTCACTAGGCAGTAGTTTCCTAGCTCCTAGTCCAGAAAAAATCTAAAGATATGCACAACGAATGCAGAAACTTCTCCATGGCATATAGAAAACAATGGTAAATTGTTTATTTAAAAAGTTACAGCTGGAATTTGTTTTGGATCTTGAGTGATTTGTATTGCACTATGTTTCTAAAAGTCAGCCAGGTTAATTCTTATAGGTATAGCTCATGTTTTCACTGCTACTCCACTGCATATACTATAGTGTCACAATTTACTTGTCCATGATTTTATCATTATATACTTGGGTTGTTTCAAATTTGTTTTCCGATATAGTTTCCCAAATATATATTCTCATCAACAATATACAAAGACATCCTTTATGCACACCTTGCCAGTAGTGGATAACTTTTAACGACCTAGTATATATGAAATGATATAACATAATTCACATTTCCTTGATTGCTTAAGAGGGACTACATCCTTCCCTAATATGATGTCAGTTGGGACTTCCTCTTCAGTGGTGTGCTTATTTGAATGTGTGAATGCCCTGTAGCACAGGACATGACATAGAAACTGTATGGACACACTATCGTTTGGAGAAGTCCTTTAAAAAGAAAAATATAATTTATCCCTAGGTTTAGTTTGGTCTCCTATGTATCACTGGTACAAGTTTGCTCAGTGGAAAATGAACATTTCCATATTTGCTTCTGAGTTGGATTTTTCATCCCCTTTGTGTTGGGAGAAATATCTAAAACACAAAAATTATTTTGGTTTTATTCTCTCCTTTCACATGTTCACCTTTACTGTATGTGGAAAGAGTTGAGACAGCACATCAGAAAGCTAACAGGAACCTCTTCTTGGAAGATGCATTAGTCAGCTTTCTCAGTTTTGAGATGCAATACCTGACACCCACAAGTCAAAGGAGGAGAGGGGTGACTACTGACTGTGATCTGTTACCTTGGCTGGAGGAAGAAACACCTCGCAGATTAGTAAAGCGCAGTTGTGGGTGTGTCTGTGGCTGATATGCCGGCCAGCAAACTGAAGGGGGAATACTCACACCAGTGGGCATGTAATAGGCTTGTAGCCTGGATGAAATGAAAAAGAGAAAAAGAAAGAATGGTGCCCCTTTTGAAGAGCTCTGGTTTCCTTGAGCAGGTGTATCCTTTGCTGTCTTTGCCTTTGGACACGTCTCCAGGCCGCCAGTTCCTCAGCCTTCCAAAGCAGTTTCACACCCAGGCCTCTCCAATGAGCTTTCAAACCTTTGACCTGGGACTGTTGCTGCATCCTTGACCCCTCCTGTGCCACGGCCTCCATCTTTTTTAAAAATTTATTTTAAAAATAAAAGAAAGAAAACAATAACAAATAGACATCCATTTATAAAATAACATAAGAACAATACAAGCAATACTGAATTACAGATAAAGTGGTAGGAAATTAACAATGGTTGTTGTATTACATATTGATATCTTCAAAGTGGTTTCTCAGGAAAACAAATTTTGTTGGACTAACAGCTAATCTGTCTTCCAAGAAGAGCTTCCAGTTAGCTCACCAGAGCTCACATGGTCACTGCGGTTTCTCCTATCTCTTATCCCACAGACAGCCAATGGGACTCTCCTGCCTTCAGTCCTGTAAGTCCACCTAAGAAATCCCCTTGTGTATCTACACATATATATTCTGTTGAATTTTCTCCTGTAGAGAATACTAACACAGATTTCAATACAAGGAGTGGTTCTACAGGAATATAATTGTACGTGTAGATACATTTCTCTAACTGATTTAGTGGTTCCTGGAGTTGGCTCTCTGATTCGAAGACACCTGAAGTTGTTACAGTCTCTCTAATGATGTAGAGAGTGCTGAGAGTCCATGTGTGAACTATTTAAAGTAATATGCAGCATAGACCATTTGATTATCCTAGTTCACCATGTTCAAGATGTAAGAAATTTAGTGACCATATACAACACTTTTGAACTCTTTTGGAAGCTAGTTGATTGTTCTTAGTACCCTTGAACAAAGTAATGGAGGAAAACGACGCATTCAAAGGTTCAAATTTCTAGCTGCAGACATGCATAAAAAGTATCATGGATTCCAAGAGTGTTCCCATGGAGAATCTTCTTTCCTTTAACAAAAGGACTGAAAAGTGCTAAAGAGCAAAAGTAAGCCCTCATAATGCATTTGGCTAAATTGCAGCAAAACTTTCACACTCACCCTCAGAGGGTGTATGCAGTTAACAAGAGGGCACTGATCGGAAGAGAATGGGATCCCATGAATTTCCATGGAGATGTTTGCAAGAAACCTGGTGAAACTAGGGACCTTGAACTCCTAATTTGGATGAGGTTATATTGCCAGAGAGCAAGATTTCCCTACTCTCGGTGACAGAAGTATCCCCACCTCCAGCTCTGGACTCGTCATCTCTGCCCGATGGAACTTATCCTGTGTGGCCTCCGCAAACAGTACAAACCTTCTCTAATGCAGTTGCCTGCAAGACAGTGCCAGTGATCCTCACACCCATTCTTGCCATCCACATTCGTTTCTCATTTCTAGAGCTTTTGTAGGCTCAAATCTCAGAAAGCTTTTAAAAGTGAACTACATAGCACGACCCTTGGGACATGGAAGGTACGCCACACTCCCAACTAACTTCTTCAGTTTTCTAGTTCTTACAGTAAAAGATTTTGGGGAACAGGAATAGAAATGGATTTTGAGGGTGTAAGACATTGGTGGAAGGAAAATCAACCTGGATTAGGCTGAATTTCTTGATTTAAGTCAATTAAGCAGAAATTCTGAATTTAATGTTACAGTTTGTAGAGTTAAAAAGGATGCCAATCATTTACTTAATTAGTTACCTAAAATACACATCAACCTGTAAATGATCCACTGTAAATGACCTGGATACACCTGATGGTCCTTGACTTATTACTGATGAGAGCAGTGTCAATCAAGTGCCAATCAACTTCATTCTATCCACCACAGAAGGAAACCTGGGTCAAGGGGTAAAACGTGTTGGATGGAGAGTTGGAACTTCGGTTCACAATACACCTATTTTTAAATCCCTTAAGAAGACTGCTGCCATTTTCACCCTGGTAGATAGTAGCTGCTGGATTTCTGGGTCCATGGAAGACTCACACCCTTCAGAATTTTTTTTTTTTTTTTTTTTGGTTTGGTTTGTTTTTTGCTGGTACCGGGAATTGAACTCAAGACCTTGTGCTTGCCAGGCAGGTGCTGTGCCGCTGAGCTAAATCCCCAGCTCACCCTTCAGAATTTAAACTGCCACTCACTCCTCCCTTTTCATTGTGGCATGCCTGATCTTATATGTTTGAAATACTGTAATCCAGAGATTTACCCTCTTTCTTATCCTCTCCAGAGAATCACCCTTTAGCCACCTGCCTTCTCTGTAGGACAGGGACAGCATGCTGTCTGTGGGATGGGTGCGGGGGGATCCTGAGATTCCAACTGCTTCCACAATAAACTACTAAATCTTCTATTTGGCTTGTGCTCAACTATACATTCCTAAGGTAAGTGGCCCTAAAGTTTTAGCTTTTAGTGACATTCTATGGTAAGTGAAATTGATTTCCAATTTTCTCTATAATTCCATTTCTAGGATTCAGCTATCTCAGCTCTGCTAAGCCAGTGACCATTCAGCATGATGAAACCACTTTCCGGCATCCAGGAAGTTATTGTCACATGTTCTTCAACTCCGTTTCTCTTCTTTTGCTCAGGCTTTCGGTCCACAGTAACAACAGTAAGGAAACCTTACTATTGTCTTATGTAATTTTAGGAGAGACCTGAGTTTTAATTAGTGTGTTTAGTCTGCCATATTTAATCACATTCCCCAAAATTCATCACAGCAGCCTCCCAAGACAATGATAGCCCTGCTGGTTGACTTACCACACTGTGAGTAACAGTGGGAATTTTCAACATTATAGAAGAGACAGTTTTGTTCCATTGGGGGCCTTTTGATCACCAACATATTTTACCCCAGAGGTTTCTGCTTATGTATGAGTTATTTTGTGACTCCATAGATGACATATATCTGAGTCAAGTGTTTTACCTGTGACTTTCAAAATGATTCTCAAGTTTAAATTGCAGTGTGAGCTGTAAATCTTGGCTTATTTTATTTTTTGAGTATTTTTTATTAGTACATGACTGCAGTACATAATGCTTATGTTCCTTGCGGGGACTTGGTATTTATATATAACACATCTTACTTCCTTTTTCTTCAGTCCATCTTCCCTCCCCTCCTACCATCTCCTGTCCCATTCCCATTTGATTTGTCTCTCCTCCACACCAAATACTATCCTTCAAAATCTTTCTTCACAAACCCCACCTCCACCTTTCCACTCCAAAAGTTACCAGTTCTGTGTGAACAAATAGACACTGTGAAGTCTGGGAGCCTGAGACCCACAAACTTGAATGGTAACACTGTTGGAGGCAGAGGGCACTGTCCTCCTTCCAGTTGGGAATGTGTTGTCTTTCTCTTAATTTCATCTGCTAAGCTAGCAAACTTCACACCGAATCTTTCCAAGTTCATCATGCTACAGCTCTTATTTGGAAGTTTATTCTTTCTGTTACTTCAGGAAATCCTCAAATCACTTTTTTCTAACATCCTATAGACAACTTTTGTAAAAGCTAAGGTGCTTGGGAGTATCCAGGTTTTCATAACATGCAGATTTTGAATAATTAATTCTTCGGTGGAGCCTGAAATTCTGCATTTCTAATGAGCTTCTAGGTAATGAGTCACCATTCAACTGGATGCTGCTAGTCTGAGGATCACACGTTGAGTTGAAAGGCTCTGGGAACTTTATTCTTTTAATGTCATTACACCCTCCCACACTGGAGAGTGTAGTAGATACTATGGGTGCCTTTCCTACATGCTGCTTCCCACACTTTCAACAGCTAATGGCTTTCACCTACAGCATTCAGAGAATTTCCACTGGGTGCCTGAGCCATGTCTCCAGTAATGAAAGGAAGAGTTCCCTGGGAATATCACCACTCTCATGGTAAGCCCACAGACTTAGTGAAATAGCTGGCAGTACAGGATAAAAAAAATCCAATTCCATTGTTCTGATGTGGTACAAAGTCTGAAGTATGTTTCCCTCTACATTTTTCAGAGGGGTGGTCTAAGCCTAGGGCTTCACCTGAAATTAAACACCTTTTGGCCATTTCTCTTTCTCTGCTCTGTGTCCCATTCAGCTGCCTCCTTCCCGTATTTCCTTCCTGGCTTCTCCTGGGGACATATCCTTAGTAAATTACTGTACATGAATCTTAGGGCTGGGATCTGCTTGTGACAGAACTCAATTTAAAAGAGGTGGCATTGTCCAAAGTGAATCTCTGTTTCTAGGGGACTATAAGAAGAAAGGGACTGCAGCAACATAATTCCATACCAAGAGACTGAAACTGCCATTTCCCAGGGTCTAGCTGAGTAGCCACACTGTAAGTACTTCAGAAGTTTTATCTGAGTGGTTGATTACACAGTGGAATCCATTTTCATGCAGAGTTGACTTAAAATGTTACAAGAATTCTGGAAATGGGAGGATAGCAGAATCTGAGCCCTCAGTAGCCCCAAATGCCAGCCCAAGCAGAACTTGCTCCATCTGGTCCTTTACTGCCAAACAACACCAGTGCTACATTGGGATCACCAAGTGGTTCAGCAATAAACAACAGAGGTAAGTAGGTTCAGCAATAAACGACCCAGATTCCACTTCCTTAACCATCAGATCTAGGCTTCAGGGGTTTGCTTCAGGCATCCCAGGCCCTTCCTTTGACTTAGCCTCCACTCTTGCCTCAGGAAGGAAGACTAGAACATCTAGTCATTGCCACATCAGTGCAGAACGGCTGACCGAACGCTCATCCCTAACACTATGCTTTCCTAAGTATGAGGAAAGACAGGAAGACTTCCACACGCAAACTCCATTTCCTGCCTATTTGTCATGGCAGCACATCACACAGCTTGCATACCCACCCAGCTGTGAGTGCATCCTTGCACCATTCCTGGAAAGCAGGCCAGCAATAGGCACATGGCTTGAAGTTTCACCATTCTGAGGACAATGAACTGATGTGGAGCGTTTTGAAGAAAATTTTCACAAAATCTTTATCTTTTGTGGTTTCCTTCCAATTTTTGCATAGTATATAAAAATGGAAGAGAAGGTGAATATTTATCATGGTCCATATGGACACAATGCAAAATGATAAAATTATTAACACAGTTGATATCCAAAGTGCAAAATTATAAAATATAAAAGGTAAAACAATCATTTTACTCAAATAACAATTACTTTCTCTAAGGAGCAATTTGATTCATCTTATCTTGGCTTTCAAAGAGTGAAATTAATGGCAAAGGAAGCTTACCTAAAACTCTTTTCATACATTTGAGTGGCAAATGTCTTTGCTATGTTTTTTGTTGCTGCTTGCATCAGGAAATGATTCCCATAGTTTTGTTTTCAAGTTTGTTATAGCATTGGCCCACTCCAGTTCATTTCTGCTTATTACATATAACTTATAATACACTAGAAAACTTTGCTAGGCTAGAAGTGAAAACTGATACTTTGATTCTAATATAATTAAATTCTGTATGTGCAGGCAGAAAAAATATATCTTGATATAATTAATAACAGGCTTATCACACCTGATTATATTCTCTAAAATAATAATAAAACCTTGTATATACCTGAACTCCCCAATAGAAAAATTATATTTCTGAGTTTTGCTTTATTGACATGTAAGGTTTTATCATGACCCTTCTAAATTTGATGATGGTGTGTGACAGTTGTATTTCTACCATGAAAAGGTCGCTTCAAATTTGGAAACTTAGGTAATTTTGCATCTATTTTTGTTTCTGACGCTCGAGGTTAGCATTTCCTTTTCTTTACTAAATGTTTCTGTCTCTAGTTTTTTCTTTGATATTTTTCCCCTAAGTTCCAGTAGATAAAGCCTATCTAAATTCTACTGTCAACACTGACAGGAATGCCAAGCACGTACTGCACTTTGGGCAGTCCAGCAAACTAGAAACAGAAAGTAATTTCAGCCTTTAGCTTTGTCTCTTGGAAGAAAATTCAAAGGTTTCCAGTGGGAGCAGAACACAACTTCTAAGTCCCGTTGCGACTGTGCCCCACTCCCTCAATGCCAGCCTTGCCCCGGACAGTTACCTCCCACTTCAGCCTTTTCCCGTGGGCTCTCACTCTCTGCCCTCTGCTTTCACCCTACTCAGATGCACGAATCTCTATCTATAGTTTACAGCTCCTGCCACTCACCTTTTCTTCTTTATTACCTTTTTTGGTATCTGTTAATTTCTCTCTATCACTTCCAGGCCTTTTGACTAAGATCAAGTGTAAATTCCCTCTGGTTTCTTCTAGTTTCATCTTTGTCATACACATTTTGCAGCTTCCTCTGCCTAGAAGTCAACCCATGAAGCAAGAGACCTCTCCTATGACAGAAGCAAAGGGAACAGAGGAGGTAGAGGTGTGGGAGATACTGGGAACACTCATTCATTAATCACTTGTTAATTTAATTTACCTCAGTTCAAATCATCAGTAATTTTTAGTTTGAGGCAAAGATTCATATTATATTAATTATTCTGTCATATACTCCATGCATAAACACAAATAGCTACGCAAAATACTCACCCCTCCCTATTCCCCACCCCACCCAGTCAAGGTCTGCTTGTTTCAACATGTGTCTGTCTTCTTGACGCCCAGTTTCTGATTCCATATCCCAGTGTTGATCACCTCTGTTGGCCTCCCTTGGCTTTGCCAGTTCCTAAATTTATTTTTTGTTTTTCAGTAACGGTGATCTAAAGATGCCTATCTCACTTCTAATTCTTTTGGTCTGTGTTTTTGATACTATTATTTCTTAGATAAGAACTTCCCCAAGCCCTTCACCACATAGTTATAGTTTTTTCTCTTCAGATTCAAGCAGATGGTGGTTAAAACATCTATCTTATTCAGTAGTCTGTGATTATACAATGTAGCCTCAGTCATATTTATCTTTGTATTGAGCAATGTAAGCATTCAGCGTTAAATTAAACTGAATTGTATTTCTTAATGCTGAGTCAAAGTCCCCTTCCACCAACTTCCATCTTCATCATCTGCCACATCTCTACTCCAACAAACTTCTCTGCAAACCTCATTATCTCCCTACCCTGTCAGCCCTCTTACAGCAACACTGGGCTGAAGTAAACACCTGATGTGTGCTTTCCTATTTCTGTACTTGTGTAGAGGAAAACTTTTTAAACCGTGAAAAGAGCACAAGTTTGGATTAATTTATAACAACATAATGACGTTTTAGAGGTAACAATCTACCATGTGCTTTCATGTATTAAGAACTTTACATATGTTTTCAAATTTAATTTGCATAATAACCATATGCATTGGCAGCATTAAATTACCTTATTTTATACAGGTGGAAAATGAAGCTTAAAGATATTAAGGCACTCACTCAAGGATATATGGCTGGTAAAAGTCAGAGGCGAGACCCAAGCCCTGGACTTTAAAGTACAGTTCTTAACTAGTACACCTTAACATGACTCCAAGCAGGTTGAAATGCCCCCTCATCTGCCTAGGAAACTTATGACCAGTTGCTTAACCTTTCTCATATCTGTTTATATAAAATAGGCTTTATTATTACCTATCATGTAGGGCTCTTTGTATGAATTCTTTGAAATAATGCATAGAGTGGTGTTTGTTTTGTTTGATCAGTTTTTTGTTTCTTTGTTTGAGATGGTCTCACTATGCAGTTCAGGCTAGCTTTGAACTCACTATGTAGCCCATGCTGGCCTCAAACTCACAGATATACTCCTGTCTCAGCCTCCTAATTGCTGGGATTACAAGCATATGCCACCATGCCTAGCATAAAGTGTTCATTTGGTGTCTGCCACAAAGCATTATCTATATAAATGCAGCCATAATTTCCATCTTCTCTCTCATCATAATTTACATGCTACTTAGCATTTTGAATGTCTATAAATGGTAGGTTTTTAAAAATAAAATTCTTTTGTTTTATTTTTTTGGGTTTTCTGAGGTACCGAGAATTGAATTCACGACCTTGCACTTGCCAGGAAGTGCTGTGCCGCTGAGGTAAATCCCAAGCCCCAAAAGTAAGATGCTTTTTGTTTTTTTTCCTGTACCGGGAATCGAACTCACAACCTCTCGCTTGCCAGGCAGGTGCTGTGCCACTCAGCTAAAACCCCAGCCCCAAAAGTAAGACTCTTAAAGGGCATAAAACTTAACAAATATCTTCACACCTGTTTTCAAAATTCCTTTTGTATGACAAGGTTTGTTTATGGCCAGTATATTAATTAGAAAATGATATTAATTAGAAAATGAATATAATATGATATTAAATTTGATATTAATATTTTGTGATATTGTATATTAATGTGATTATATATTGAATGATATGAATTAGAAAATTATTTAGTATGTAAAATATGTAGTCTCATTGTTTGAGTTGCATTTACTATGTTACTAAAATGATTGATATTTTCCACTTTTATTAATCACTTTTGTCTTTTGTGCATTATTTTGTTATGTCCACTGAGCTGTTCTTTCTTTTAACCTGCCTACCAGATTTTTAAAATTCTGATTTGTAGGAGTTCTTTTTATGTAAAGGATATTAACCTTTTGTCCATTGGGTTTGGTGATAAGCTTTGAGTCGATAACTGAGAGCACGTTATTGTTTCTTACTGCACTGGATAAGTACGAGCCCAGTGAAAACACACTCACGAAGAGTCTGAAATGAATCATGCTGAAATGTTAACAATGGAATGTCTAAGAATTATAAGATTATTGTTAATTTTTATTTTCTCCTTCATAAAGTTCTGGATTCTCCAACTTTTGTACAACTATTTTATATGAAAAAAAGAAGAATATTAGGTGTGTCACAACTCCCAATGCTAACCCTCTTCTCCTATTCTTAGTCAATGCTTTATATCCTTTACCTAATTCTTCCCTATCTTTAGGTTCTTTTCCCAATCTCATTCTCATCAGGTTTTGGCTCCTGTCAGCCTTCCCTAGTGCTAGCATTGGATTTTCATCACTAACTGCAATTGTGTTCAGTAATCCATATATGATTAGTGCCAACCTTGTGTTATTCTTGACAGACAGAAACAGACAAGGATGCCACCTAAGTACACTTGCAGAAGGATTAATCATATCAAATGTTGACTAGCTAAAATCCCACTATTCGATGTGGCCACTGTCTGCCTCTCTGATAAACCGTATGTGCATCTATGGCATGACTGTGTAGAGTATTGTATTGCATTCTGAATGCGTTGTCCAGTTAGTACACAAACTAAGGCCACACCTCTGCAACAGAAGAAGCAATTTCAATGAACAGGTCAGTCACTAGCAAGAGGAGGATGTCCTAAAACACAGAACAGAGCACAGAGGTATGCTCTGAGAGAACAGGGGAAGGAACTGTTCAGAGTTAAATAAGTTCAGATGGCTGAATTTGTGATCTTGGGTAGTAGGTATGAAGAAACACTCTTGCTGTGGGAGGGGCCTGAGATCAGCGTGGGGTTTGCCTTCAACCCTGAAGGCAGCTACTAGGAGCAAAAACTTACTAGGAGCAAAAATGTTTTGTAAGATGTCATCTAGTTTCACGTTGCTGTTTACCTGATTATTTGGCATTAAACTGATTCTCATTAAAGAATATCTACTTTGTACTGCTGTACCTCAAAGTATTAAAAGTGAAATTTGAAAAACAAGGATTACATTCTGTTACCAACCTTGAAGGAGCCAAGCTTTAGTTTTATGAGGGTAAGTAGTACATGAGCCTCACAGAGCATTAATTGTTTTTCCTATTATATTATTTGTTTATGTTTCTACTTCTCTGAAGCTTTAAGATAATTTGTTACTTTGTATTGGAGCATTTATTAGAATAATAGTGTTATTTTCTTTACTTTCCTCACTGGGTTGGAAACCATGTGATAACAGAGAACTCATCTTGCTCTCCTTTAGCACCCTGAACCCTCTCCTCTCTCCATTCTCCACAGACGCATGTGAACAATAGTCCTGCACCTTCACACCAAGCAGGGTTTTTCTAACTCAACACAGCTGAGAAACTGGCTAACTGGAGTGAGGACTGTCCTGTACTTTACCCTGGAGCATGTTTGATGGCATCTTTACCTTCCATTCTCAGTAGCAGCTCCCCACCCCAATGCTGACCATCTTAAATGTCACTAGATGAGGCCAAATGACACAGATGGAAAAAATCACTCCTGGTGAGAACCATGGTAAGGAATACTGCACCAGTCAAAATGCTAACACATAAAAGAGAATCATGAAAAGTTGATGGAGAGAGTTTGTATCAACTTTACATCAAAAGGACCATATTAATTTCCAGCACACAAATAGTAAGATGTAATCCCACTTCACAGGTATTTAAATATTCCTTTAGTATTTCTCTGGTAACTAACAAGGTTCAGCATCTTTTCATGTGCTTACTGACCGTTTGTGTATTTTCTTCTGTGAAGTGTCTGTACAAATTTTATATATTTTTAAAATTGTTTGTCTTTGAGTGTATTACCTTTTTAATACAAGACCTTTACCTATTATATGTGTCTGTTCTTCTAATCTATTACAGCTTCATTCAAAGTGCAATTATCTCTCCCCCCTTTATCATCTGTGTCCTTGCTATTATGAGGAACCTTTTCCTACCTCAATCTCATGAAGACTTTTTCTTAGAAATTTGGCTTTTTACATTTAGGCCTATGATCAAGTTAATCAAAATGAAGTATATACAGACAATAGAATAATACTTGACAGTAAAAAGAAATAAACTGCTAAGAATACACCTTAAATTAATCTGAAAATTTTTCAACTCCATTTAAAAAGCTAGACACAAAAGAATGGCACAGTAGAATTCCATTTGTTGAAAGAAAAAACATTCTAGAAAATGAAAAATCATCCACGAAGCAGTTTAGTGGTTGCTTGAGGAAGGAAATGGAAATGGGATGAACTGCAAAGGGGAATAAGGAAGCTTCAGGGAGAGCTGGGAATGTTTACTGCTTGGGTGGGTAGGTTTACAATATTCAAGCCGATCAAATGATTCACTGTAAGTATGTGTAATTTGTTGTATATATTCTTTACCTTAATAAAGAGCCATTTTAATTCAAGGAGATAGGGAATTTTACTTCTTTCAGAATTAAGATCCTTCATTCATATTATGCACATCCCAGCCTCTACCTCCCGGTGCCGCAATGCTCCGTAACGTGCTAGAGAGCAGCTTGGCTCTGTGGCTCTTGGCAGGTTACATGCAATTCCTGTCCTCCAGGGGTCAGGCTTGTTCCAGAAAATAATTCAGAAAGCAGGAAAACACTGGTGCATCTTCCCTCCAGAAAGTAGTGTCACAAACTTACAAAATATTAGAGGAAGTGTGTGTGTGTGTGTGTGTGTGTGTGTTTATCTTGCATCAAAAACTGGTGTACTTTAGTGTGAAAACTCCCCTTACCTCAAAAAAAATTGTATTCCCCTAGAGTAAGCATGCAGACACCAAAGGTGTGAGGAGAGGAGAACGGATTTGACCAGTGTAAAGGGGATCTTAACTTAAATAATTCTGGTTCCATGCTGCTTTTAAGCCAGGAACGAATTCCCTTAGCTAGAAAGATTATTTTCCTGCCAAAACTGAACACTGCAATGATTAAGTGAAGAATGACGACCTCTGGGCTTGGGCTTTGGTGGCCTGCACATGTCATCACCGTCACCCTCACAGAAACCCTTGAAAACTCTTTTCACTGGGGAGGAAGCAGAGGTCCACAGAAAGCAAATAAAGTCTTTGTATCCCAAGTGGAGTGTGCAGTGGAGTGTGGCTTCAAAATGAGGCCACGTTGCCTCCAAAATGTATGTCTCTTTACTTCAAGGTACAACACTTTTTTTACAGACTTCTCAGGAATAAATTGAAAGAGATAAACCATTAAGGCAAGCAGTTTTCAACCAGAGCTGAAGTTTTTGGCCAAAGGCTTCTGTTGTTCTTTGCTTTTTGTTTTTCCTAATACTGGAGATTATACCCAGGACATTTGCCCTGAGGTACATCCCTAGCTCTTCTTATTTATTTAATTTTGTGTACATCATATTTGTGTTAGTATGATAAAGTTGAAAAGTGTAAACAAGCCAACAATATATACAACACAACAGTGCACACATTCACAAACACACCAAATCCTAGAGAAGAAATTCACAGTTACGTTGTAGACCTTAAGACAATCCAGCTATTACCTTACAGTTAATAAGTAGTAATTCTAATAAATAGATCTCCACAAATGATAGAAAAGAATTCAATAATTTTACAGAGTTAACTATCAAAAAATTAACAGAGCTTTACAGTTATGCTATTAAAGGTACAAGGTTGATTGATCATATGTTTGGTCCTACAGAAAACAGATCTACCTAGCTTACTTGTCTGTCATGATGATGAAATTATACTTTCAAGGTATCATCATAATAATTATTTTTATTTTAATATTTTTCTATTAAAAAACTGGAGAGCAGGTGATCAAACTACACAGGAACAAATTCTACAACCCAGGTACCCTGGAAAACACTATTAAAAGAATCATCCTGGAAAGTTCAAATGATGATTCATTTTAATTATCAGAAAATTAGACATTTATATTTAGAAGGTACTTGTACTAGCAGTCCTCATAACTGCATGTCTGGGTGGAGCGCTGGTGCTCAGCTAGGAGTGATGTTGACACCCAGGGATACTAACAACCTCTGTGGACACAAGGATGCCGCCAAGTATCTTTCAGCGTACAGTACAGCACCCCACAGCAGAGTACAGCCCTGCACAAAATGGCTGAGGAAACCGCCTGGAGAACAGACAACCTCTGTGGATAACTAATTGAAAACTACAAAAGGAACAAAGAAAACACAAGGGGTCAGTAGGGAGTCATGAAGCATCACTTTAATTTTTTTTTCTTTGTTATCAGATACACTGTGCCTCACCAATAAATGCTTGTAGTCATAGGACCAAGAATAGCTAAGACAGGAAATAAAAATACAAGTTGAGAAAAGAACAGCCATTTTCACAAAAATATCAACATAAGTCTGACAGTTAAGCCATAGGATCATCAGGTTCAGATAGAACAGAGCCATAGCATGGATCAGTAAAGTACTAAACACAGAGCACTAAGTACTAAACACAGAGGTTTTTTTAGCAAAAAACAAACTTTTTTAAAATTAAAAGCATCATACCACAGTGACATATGCACATCCATGTTTATAGCAGCACAGTTTGTAATAGGTAAATCGTGGAAACAACCAAAATACCCATCAACCAAGGAAATGATAAAGATGTGTGTGTTTTTTTACACAATGGATTACTTCTCAGCAATAAAAACGGACAAACTTGAGACATTTGTAGGTCAATGGATCCACCTTGAGAACTTACTCGTAAGTGAAATAAATTTGATTCACATGTGGAAATATAGCATAGTTTCTCTGGTATGAGATACAAAATGTGTACATAAGGAGCAAACTGTATAAAAAGGTATTGTGAAATAGGAAGAGATTGTTCAAAAGAAAGAGGAACTGGGAAACGGAGGAAGAAAGGGTAAAAAAAAAGATTCCATGCTCTTAAATGAAATAAATTGGTCACCTATGTTTAAATATCACATTGTTTCTCTAGTGGTAGAAACTGAAAGAGTAGGTAAGGACCAAAATATATAGAAGATTCGGAGAAGTAGGAGAAAATACTCAAATGGCAAGAGGAACAAGGGGTGGGGGAAGGGGGGAGGAAGGAAGGAAAAAGGAAAAAGAAGTGTCACTTCTTAATGTAAACTTCAGTCAGGAGTTCCTTACTAATCTAAAACTTTATTTGTATGAGTTGTAGGAAACAAGCAAGTACACTGAGGTAGCAACCAAGGTTTCCCCCAACCATGGGAAAACAGAGATCGAAATCAGAAAGAACTCATAAAGTTCCATTTGATTTTTAGATTATCAAATGTGGAAAATGTGCTAAGAGAGCACTGCGTATGGTGGTACAATAACATATTGATATTCTTTTTTTTTTTCTCTCTCTCTTTTTGAGGTAGGGTCTCGCCAGATAATTCAGGCTGGCCTTGAGCTCATTTTGTAGCCCAGGCTAGCCTCGAACTCGCAACGATCCTCCTGCCTCAGCCTCCCGAATGCTGGGCTTACAGGCGTTGGCCATCATGCCCCGCTCAGTAACATATTGATATTCAGTGTCTATTCACAAAAGCCTTACACATGAAGATACCCCTAAAGCAAGAAGAATTCCTGGCATCTAACTTTTATCTTCTGAATAGTACTATTCTCGGAAGGAACTAGCAATTCTTTTTTTTTTGTTTTTTTTTTTGTTTTTGTTTTTTTTCTGGTACCGGGAATCCAACTCACAACCTCGCGCTTGCCAGGCAGGCGCTGTGCTGCTGAGCTAAATCCCCAGCCCCCAGCAATTCTTAATGAACGGGATGATTCTAGGAAAGAGACAGGATGAGCCTGGGTAAATTGTGGAGGCAGAAATTCAACAGTGCTCAAAATCCTGATGGATACACGTCAAAAGGACACAGGATCTGGGTAGATGGGATCCCAAGGGCCAAACGTGAGGCGATTTATATATGATAAAAACTAAGGCTGGGGATATAGCTCAGCCGCACGAGCACCTGCCTGGCAAGTGGAAGGTCCTGAGTTTGATTTCTGGTACCTACACAAAAAAATTCACAAAAAGGTAAAAACTAACGGAGACAATACCTTGAATTAACAAAAAGGAATGTACTGATGAAAGATAAACACGCTATTATTTATTAAAAGATGCCAACTGAATAAACAAGAAAAACTGAATTTTAAAACGTTCTTTTATGATATTTTATCCCAAATGGAGTTGCTGCTTCCAGCAAGGACTATTAATGAACGGTAACACCAGGAGGTGAAAAGCTGTAAGGCTGTCCTTGTTCTTAGGAGATGCATATTAAAGTATTGAGGGAAAAGTATCGTAATGTATGTGAACTGCATTCAAGTTGCTTAAGAAAGGATAAGTGTATAGGTATAGATCGGTCAATAGATAATATAAGGAAAAGTCCACAGTTGGTGAATCTGCAGGAAGCGTCTGTAGATGTTTGCTGTGCAGATCTTTCAATGATCCAGCAGTTTTGAAACTTTGCAAACTAAAATGTGAAGTTTTTATACAAAGTAATGGCAATTTTAAAGACTAAAGAAAGCCTTCACTATACTTTGCTATCACCATTACTAGCCTTGGTAATTTTTTTCTCATATTCCATAAACTTTTCAAAAACTTTAGTTTTAGTGTATATATAAGTGTATTTTTAATATAGGGGAGAGTGCTTTGCCTCCCAGTTCTGCAATGATAAATGGCCTTAACTTTGAAAATATAAAGTGAGTTTGCAATCCCTGGATCTTTGAGAGCCATTTTGTCCTCCATCAGAGACATGTTCTTCCCCAGTCACCTTCATCGATGGCTCTTGGTTTGAACAATGGTTATCTACAGTGTCTTACACAAAGGAAGGAGACAAACTCTCCACAGAAGGGGATCTATAAATAGCTGTTAATCCTTGGGAAGGAATTAACACCTAATCCAAGCCAGGTTTGACTTAGAGAACATTCAGATGAGCTGATTACATGATCAATTGTTTGCTACGTACAGCTGCCAGACACAAGGTGAAGCAATGATTTTATGATTGCACCTGTACTGTACAAGGCAGAATTCTGTGTTCATCCAGATTAGGATCCAATTTCTAACTCCTTTATTTTTCTCAATGATACTTCTCTGAGAATTCTCTCTGAGAATTTATTCTGAGAAGATTCTTTGATTTCTCTCTTAAAGCACTACACTTTTCCTTCACAGGCCCCATTAAAATGCATGATTACATACACATTTCTATATTTTATTGTTAAAGTATTTCTGAGCTCCAAAAGAGCAGGAGATGGGGTTGTTTTATGCCCTCTGTGTACTCAGTTTCCAGCCTGTGCCCAGCACCCTGCAGGAATAGGTAAGTGTCTGTGGGCATAATGATCACTCGTGGTTGTACCCTGCCTCACGCTTGGGTGACCACACACGGTCAAAACAAACTCAGATATGGAAGCCACACTGAAGCATCTACAGGCACAGGGTGCAGCAGAAACCACTGAAATTCAAGAACACTTTCCAAATAATGAATGATGAATAACAGAATTCCGTATGACTTTATTCAGTACTCTGACCTGTGCCCCGCCCAAAATATTGACTCCATGTTTGATGATTTTCCCTCAGCCAAGTCTCCATAGAATGTGAAATTGGAGAGAAGATCCATGTGCTGGCCAAAAAGCTCATAGTCTTTTCATGAATCTCAGAAAACAAACCAACTAACAAACACGTTAAATGTGTAAAGGAAATGCTATCATTGTTCATCTTTTTCACTCAGAAAGACATGAGAATATATATATGTACATATGTATATTTTAACATTTCAGTGAGTACATACACAAGTAGCAAATAACTATTGAAAGAACTGAAATAGCTAATTGTATTTAATTGTCTTGCCTTTTAGTAATGGACATGATATAATTTGTATAGTCATGCAATATAGCCATATATTATATAGTCACACATGTGTATATAATGTATAAGATACATGTATGCACATAGAAGAATCCATAAATATTCATGTATGTGTGGTTTTCTTTGAAGTATGTGATGGGATGTATACAGGCAATGCTCCACAATGACTGTCATAATGTTCAGGTGCAGAGGCACGGGCCTGAGAGCCACTAATACAAACATACCTGTATTTATGTACCAAGGCTTCACAGCCTGTGATCCATGGCTGAATTAAAGGCATATAAACAGTGTGTCCAGCACCCAACAGGAATAGCTAAGTGTCTGTGGGCATAATGATCACAGACACTTGCCTATCTTAAAATCTGTGCATGAATGTGTGTGTGTGTGTGTTTTATGGGGAAAGGGGAACAGCTTTTCCAAGACTGCAGTGATAGCCCCTGACTAGACAAAGCCCCCTGGGAGAAAGACCACTCCCCAAAGGCCCTGCTGTACATATTTGTGAGATGTGTGTCTCTTCCAAGTTAAGCACATTGCTGCATAAATGTGTGGATGCAGTTCATAATTCATGGAACCTCATGGATCAAAACATATTGCTTTTACTAAAATTAAAAATCATTGTGTCTTTTCTTTTCATCACCCCTAAAATAAAACAGTTAAAAGCTTTTAGTCTGCAATCCAATTTCATTCCACCGTTCTTCAAGTGGGACTTTTCTGAAGATTTGATGGCTTTGAAGGATCCTCAAGTTTAGTCTCCCTAAGGAATTCTCACAGGGGTCATTTTGGGGGTCCAGGAGCTTTGCCTGTTCAAACTTTGAGCCTAAAATAAAAAATAACAATTAATTTTTGTGTTTGTCATTTTCTAGCCATGAAATAGAGACAATACATAGTCTTTATTCAATAGAAGAGCAGGTATAGAAGAAAACTTAGTTCATAGCAGTAAGTTTTCTACTTTCTTTTTATGGATGAACATGAAAGTGTATGCACATTCTGGCTTAAGTCACAAGGACCCTTCAGCACACTTTCAGCTCTGTGTGTCTGAGGCAGCAAGAGCAGATTCCTGAGACAATAGGAAGATTTTATACAGTTCTACTTTCTCTTATTTACACAGTGACACTTTTTCTTATTCTGACCCAGAACCTACAAACATCACCAAACTTCACCAAAACTAAATCCCATATTTATGCAGAATTGCCATTCGTCTTTCCTAATGCTCCCTCATTTTGTCTATGTTGCTGGGCAACTGTGCCCATTTCATATTACTGGAAGATGAACATGTGAAATGTATGGTTAAATACAGGACTACAAAATTTAGGTCTTGAATAAACTGTATATTTGAAAGTTATCTCTCTCAAACCAAGCTCTGTATTTTCTAAATATAGTGTATAACCTGCAACTGAAATGATTTTTTTTCCACTGAAAAAAGATGTGGCCTGAGCTAAAATGCAAGTATTCATCTGCATCACAAAGGAATAAGTTACCCTAAGTATAGCCTTGGTAGATAAATGCATTGAGGGAAAAAAAATTGGTTGGGTTTTCCCCAAAGTTTCTTCTTGTTTATATAACCCAGTAGTTCAGTATCACAAAGGAATAAGTTATCCTAAGTATAGCCTTGGTAGATAAACACTTTGAGGAAAAAACATTGGTTGGGAAAATAAACTTTTCCCCAAAGTTTCTTCTTGTTTATATAGTTCTACTCAACTCCCTCACTAGCTTGGCAAAGGGTATGATACAATAATGTGATATATATAATGCATACCTTAAATCACTTAAGTAATATATGGTGACAATATGAAACACAATCACAAGATCAGCATATGGATTCTTATTTACAGATTCTTATTTTTTGTTCCGTAAAAGAGCTACACCAAAAGTAGACCACTGGTCAACCAGAATTATCTCAGAAATCTGTATGGGAAAGGAAATATTATTGTCATTTCAAACATCTTTGCTCCTTTTATTTGCTCACTTAGAATTACGGTGAGAAGAATCTTATAACTTAAAGATCCTTGGTGAATTTTGGAGTCAAACTCATCTACCTGGGTTGTCCTTTTTAAATGGTGAGAGAAAGAGTGCCACATGTGCTGAGGTGACAGATCACTGCAGGAAGTGCTTTCATCCCCACAGCAGAGCTGCATAAATTCAAGCCATTTGCTTCATTTCTCCTATCCTATGACATTTCTTCTGTGTTTCTTTAAAGGTCCAAAGCCCTACCCAAATTTAGAAATACTAGTACCAGTCTCTGACTTAAGTAAATCATGACTCAAATAAAATGATTCATTAAAATTAGAAGCAAATAAATTTCACTCATGCTACTTTGTTTTATTTTATCATTGCTGCTTACTAATTATTTCTGATTACTATCACAAGATCTAATAGTCACTGCCTATGTTAAAGTTGGATGGTAGAGTGTGTGATATGGGTTACTACAGTTCTATAGAACTGTTCCAGAAATGAACGTATGGGTCTTCTCTAGAAATTTCTAGATTTCAATAGGAAAAATATGAGATTGCATAAGTTACAGCCCATTACTGCCATGGTTTTGTTTCAGAAACCATCCTAAGTGGAAACTTTGCTTTCTGACAAGAATTTATTATCTTTATTATTATTTACATTTGGACAATCTTATGCACAATATAGAAATAGATGATTTCCTGCTCTGAATGTTTAGTTCCTCTCATATGATGATCTACAAAGGTTTATCCTTATCGTGTGGCCATCAAGTTCTCTTGGTCTGAAGTAGCACTAGGTAGAGTTTGTTTTATGGGCTGGATTTAATAATTGATTTATTATTTTAACATGTTTTCTGCTTTCATTATTTGTCTCAATTTTTGACTACCAAGATGAAGGCGATTAATCCATAATGTGTATCATTTCAAATTTTATCTTTCATCTTATGCCAAAATTTCTTAAAGCAAAGATGTAATGATTCAGCATCTGTCTGCTAGAACAGGGTTGTACAGAGAGCAGCCCTCAGGCAGCCTCTCCCACTTCCATCCTGTAATAACAGCTGCGTGAGGGAGCAGAGGCTGTCTTGAGCAATGGACTCTCTTTATTACTATGTTGCAGGCAGGAATCTCCGGATGGTGCCATGTTCCCTGTGAATGCTCAAACAACAGGTTGTGGTGGCGTTCTGAATAACTTCATCAATACTCTCATTTGCACTTGTTCAGATCTAAGTACAGCCATACATTAAGAGGAGGAGTAAACTATATATAGGGGGAGGCATGTAAAGATTTAAATGTAATGATGTGTTTTTATGAAGGACAAGATAAGAAATTTCCTTGAGCCAAAGGCATGAATGAAAAACATCATGATGTGATGGATCCTATGACATTTATTCTGTGACATTTCTGAACACTTTTCCTGTTTTTGTGTACTCTGCACAAATCCTAAATTCTTAAAATGTACTTGTTTCATTTTTTAATTTTCTTGCATATTTTGATCATATTCGTCCCCCATTACAGTTCCTCACATCCTTACTCTTGTTTGAAATGTCCTTTCTAAAATGTATCTTCTTTATTTAATATAGTCACTGACTTGTAAGTATTTTTTTGTAAGTATTTTTTGAATCAGTATTTATTAGGAATTATTCTAAATGACATTTAACTTTCAAAATTCTCTATTAGTTGTAATAGTTTATTTTGAGTTCCATTCTTTTGTTCTTCATGCAGATATTCTCTCTCTCTTTTTCTTTCTCTTTCATAGATATATCTCTTCTGTTTTATTTTTACTTGCCTTCATTAGACAAATGGAATTCACAGAATTGTATTTATAATTTCATTCTTTGGGTGTTAGGAAATTTTGGGTACTTACTGGTAGTGATAACTCTGACTCTTAGCATGTCCTGTATGTAATATTCTTATCTCTCTCAGTTTTCAGGAAGTAGAAACTTCAATCTAATTTCTATTTCACCGTATTTCTTTTTTAAAATTCTATGCTGTATTATTTTTAAAAATCTATATTAATCAAAATGTCAACTTTCCTATACATTGCACAATCATTTCATAAGTAAAGTTCTACCACACTAATGTAGATAGGAAATTTTTTTTTTGTTTTTTTTTCTGGTACCGGGAATTGAACTCATGACCTTGCACTTGTCAGGCAGGCGCCGTTCCACTGAGCTAAATCTCCGTCCCCGATAGGAAATTTTTTAATTCTTAAATGATGTTTAGTTTCAATTAGTGTCACTGAGTGGCATTTCAGTCAGAGGGATACATCTCCACAGGAAGCAATGGCTTTCTAGTAGGCCCAGAGGAATTTCTCTTCTCCAAGGAGAAACAGAAACAAACATGGAGAGAAGAAGGAAATGGCAGTGTGGCGCCAAGAAGACTCATGCAAGGGAGAAGTATGGGAAGCCTGTGGCTGTGAGTGGTGAAATGAGATGGAAGGACAAGGCAGGGAAATGTGAAGAGTAATAAAATTAACACAAAGATTAAATTACAAACTGTCCAATCAACATTAACTCCAAACCTAGGCAAGAACTCAGAATGGTTTGAATTTTAGAAGACAAGAAAAGAGCAATGGAACAGGGCCAATGGTCTGCTACCTGGTGACCTAATTCAGTGTAGAACTGAGAAAGAAGAGAATCCGTGGTTTCATTTGGGACAAATCAAAGCAGCTGACAAATTCACCATTGAACGACACTCAAAAACATTTCAAAATATTTTCTTATTATCAATAACATTTATTTTTTATGACTGGAACCAAAGGTACCTCATAAAAAGTCATGGCCAATTCTGCTTGCTGGGAAGTGCACGGGTTGGCAAGCAATCTTCCCCTCAGCAAAGCAGCTGTCATAGCCTTCAGATATTTGTCCCTGACAGGAAAACCCTGGGAGTGGTACATGTTTTTCATCAGGTGTATCACTTCCAAAGACATTCAGTTCTCGGGAGTCTATTCTGTCTGCTTATTTATTCTGTTCCTATTGAAGGAAAGAATGAGTTAGTACCCAGCCTCTGTGTGTCCCTTTTGAACTAAATATTAGAGCTTTAGAATCTTCTTTTTGGGAAAAAGAAATTCTCTAATTATATATAGTCCTGCTTCCCCAATAATATTTTCATCTTCTTTTCTTTCCCTTTCTACTGTATTTTCCTCACTAAGTTGACCAGGAGCACAGGTATTACTTTTAAAAAGAAGAAAATAACTCTTCAGCACTAAACTAAATAAATTCAAAAACTGCTATCTTAAAACATATAACATGGTTTCCCTTTACTTCCTGCCCCTATTTTTTACCTTCCTCACTTGGCCTGTATTAGCTGTCTTCCTGCACCCCTTTGGCTGCTTCTGGAACTAATTAATTTGGAAACTGCAGTGACTCACATGTCAGCTCAGACAGTGGAAAGTATTTACTACAAACTGGGAATGTGTTATTAGGGTGCCCTACCCACTTACTTCTATAGCTCAGGGTATGCAGAGTTGCTCCATTAGAAACATTATAGGTAACTAATATTTAAGAGCAAAATTTATCAGTATTTCCTTCATTATACATTACCAGTTTTTCCTTTCTGTTGAAATATAATTGTTGCATCCCACCTAAAACTACTGAAATCTAGATTGCAAGACTATGGAGACTGAGAAACAGTCATTACCTGGAACAGACACCCTAGGAGTGACTCACCTGAAAAGTGTGACCAATCAATCAAGGGAAGTGATTACTCTTAGACTGACTGTACCAGAATATTTACATTTTTTATTTTTTGGTGCTGGGAATCAAACTCAAGACCTTGCACTTGCCAGGCTGGTGCTGAGCTATCTCCCCAGCCCTTGTACCAGAATATTTAAAGTCAGATAAGAAAAAAATGTCTTAAATGTTCTTACGTGAACAACGTGATTGAACTTTGTGAGTTGGGGGAAAAGTAGAAATACAATTTAAATTTTAAAATCTAAGGCAATCACTTAGAATCTTTTATCTGAATCATTCTCCCCAGATGAAACAAGAAATGCAACAACTCCAAAATTACATCACATATATAATCAATCAGCCTTATATAATGAGCTTTGTAGACAGTATTAAGTAGAAGTAAAATTCTTCCCATAAAGAAAGATAGAAGAGAGTTCAAGTTTGTCAAATACCAAGTAAACAGAATCAAGACTTCAACCTAAATCCACTTACACCAAGTCTGGTAATTTTTCTGTCGTGGTCTCAGGGGATCTCCTGGAGAGGAATTTGCAATGAGAGACATTTGGGCACCAGGAGAAAGACATATGTAATCATAAAGTGGAGAGAACAGTGATTAGTGCCTCTCAGGGCTGGTGAGAATTAAATTAGAGCATCCGTGTGACGTGCTTAACCGAGTGCTGGCACATATCACACACTAAGTCAAAGTTAAGTCCTCTTACTATTATTATCAATTGAGTTTCAGACAAGGGAACCAAAAAGTTTTTGTGAACTAACTTGGTAAGCTAATCACACAGAATAAAATTGTTTCACTGGAAGAAGGAATTCTGAGTTGTGACAACCTGTGATGGAGATTCTGTGTAGGCTGTAAGTCGCCTAAGAAAGAAGTGATACTGATCTTAATTTTTAAATAGTGACAATTGATAGCACGCTATAACATTAATCAGTATAAAATGAACTAAGGAGAAATAGGATGAATGTGCTACATGAAACAGTCAAAAGAAAAGTCTTGCTAAGATGTCCTACTTAGCACTTTGGTTGTACCTCTAGTGAGTGAATTCTGCATTCCCTTAAAATTCAGCTAATTTGAGCAAACAAAAAGTGGGTTGATTACAAATTAACTCCCTCCCTTAAGGGTTGAGACTCTTCCACAGAAGAGAGCCATCTTGGTTTGCTTGTATAGGAGAAAGAAGAGAAAGGAACAATCCACCTTGAAGATCTTGAAATTTTCCATTTTGCTTCTTTGTTTGGTGCTCGCTGACTCTGAACCATCCGCAACAACCTCCAGCATGGCCTCTGGATGACTTTGGTGACCACAAGTCTGCAAGTCTTCTTCCTGTTGTTATAAGCCAGATCTTCATGTCACTTTTGAAGTCTGACCTGTGGCAACTGCAGATCCACAGCTGTGTCTTCCATGTTAGCTGAACCAATCCAGAGTTTCAGTTTCCTATAAGTGATTTCTTTGATAACCTATGATGAAGAAATCAAAATAAGAATAAATCTTATTTGAAAAATAAAATGTACCAAACATGAAACATCCTAAGGGCTGGACTGAGGTTATGAATAAAAAGCTACTTCTCATTGTTATTTTTGGAAGGTGAACCCTAAGCATTGTTCCTGATACATCAGAGTAAGTAGAGAAAATGCATCTATTTACAAAACATTCCAGTAGAAGCATGTAGCTTTAGAACTTATGCCTTGGAATACCAACCAAAAATCAATTTTAAAAATTGTCATGGGGAATTTCTGTTTTTTTCCACCTTAATCTCTGTATACCTTGTACAACTTGTACACAATAATTGTAGATTTTGTAGAAGTGCTTTCCTTTTTAATGGCCATATATTAACAGTGAATATCCATATGAGGAAACAGAGTGAGCTCAAATAAACCACATAAATCGAACCTTAAGCTTGTAGAAAAAGAAGAGCAAGTCAAGCCCAGTGCTGGTAGGAGGGAGGAAATTATAAATATCACAGCAGAAATTAATGTAATTGAGACTAAGGAAATAATACAAACAATCAATGAATTGAACAGCTAGCTCTTTGAAAGATTAAATAAAGTCAGCACAGAAGCATTTGAGAAAGTCTAATGCCCATTCATGAGGAAAACCTTACAGAAAATTGGAATAGATGGTCTTTATCTCAAGCTGATAAAAACCACCTATTACAAATGAACAGCCAACATCATACTGAATGGACAAAAATTGAAAGCATTCACTCTAAAATCAGGAATAAGACATTACTACTCTTACTGAATATAGTTCTGGAAACATTACCCAGAACAATTAGACAAAAGAAAGAAATAAAAGGAATAAAGATAAGAAAGGAACAAGTTAAATTATCATTAGTTGTGGATGACATGATACTGTACATAGAAGACTCCAAAAACTCCACCAAAAGACTTCTAGACTTCATAACCAAATTCAGTAACATAGCTGCACACAGTCAACACTCAAAAATCATAGCCTTCCTGTAACAAACTCACTAAGAGTGAAATTAGATAAACACACTTTTCACAATAGCATCCAAAAAGATGAAATACCTAGGAAACAATCTAATGAAGGAAGTAAAAGATCTCTATACTGAGAACCATATTACTTTGAAAAAAGAGATTGAAGAGGATATCAGAAAATGGAAAGCTATCCCTTGCTCTTGGGTAGGAAGAACCAATATAGTGAAAATGCCCATACTTCCAAAACTGCATGACAGAAATAATGGAACCCAATCAAAATTTCAACCACAATTCTCACAGAATTATAGAAAACAATCCTAAAATTCATTTGGAAGCAGAAGAGACCTAGAATAGCAAGGCAATTCTGGGCAGCAAAGGCAAGGCAGGAGGGGCTTGACTTGGATTTGTACTATAAAGCTACTGTGATAAAAATAATATTGCAAAACAAATGAACAAAACAAACAAAACAAACAAAACAAAACAAAACAAAACAAAAAAAAACAAAACCAGACCCAAGGATCAGTGGAACAGATTAGAAGATACAGAAACAAATCCAGACATACTAAGCCACTTTATCTTTGATAAAGGGGCCCAGCATGTTCACTGGAAGAAAGCCTTTTTAATAAATGGTCCAGGAAAAACTGGCTTTTCATGTGCCAAAATTTAACACTAGACCCACATCTTTCACTATACACTAAACTAAAATCAAAATGGATCAAAGATATAAGTATTAATACAGAAACACTAAAGCTGCTGACAGATATAATAGGCAGAACTCTTGAAGATATGGGCATAGGCAAAGATTTTGTGAACAAAACTCCACTTGGACAGGAACTATCACAAAGAATCAACTAGAACCTCATCTTATTAAAAAGTTTTTGCACAGCAAGACAAACCACCAACAGAGTGAACAGACAGCCCACCGAGTGGGAAAAAAATTTTACCAGCTGTTCCTGAGACAAAGCACTAATATCTAGAATATATAAAGAACTAAAAAAAAAAAAAAAAAAAACCTCTAAATTTTAAAGACCCAATTAAAAATGTGCTTCTGCAATAAATAGACATTTCTCAGATGCAGAAATAGAAACGGCATATTAATACATGAAAAAATGTTCAGCATATTGGTCATTCAAGAAATGCAAATTAAAACAACACTGAGAGTTCATCTCACCCCAGAAATAATGGCTACTCAGAAATTAACCAATAACAAATGCTGTCAAGGCCCAGGGGAAAAAAGAACCCTTCTCCACTGTTGGTGGGAGTGTAGATTCCACAACTACAGTGGAAGTCAGTGTGGAAACTCCTCAAAATCTAGAATAGTTCCATTAGAGGTTCCATTTGACCCAGCTACTCTTCTTCTTGTTCTTTTCAAAAAAATTAAAAGTATCATACCACAGTGATATATGCACACCTGTGTTATATCAAAACAGTCTGTAATAGCCCAAATCCCCATCAACTGATGAATGAATAAAGATGATGTGTTGTTTTTATACAATGGAGTACTAATCTGCCATACAGAAATGTAATCTGGAGACATTTCCAGCTAAATGGATGCATCTTCAGGGCATACTCTTAAGTGCAGTCCATCAGACACATACGTGTAAATACCACAATCTAGCTCTGGTATGAGTAGCCAAAATTGTAACAAGGACCAAGATGTATAACAGATATTGTGAAATAGGATGAAAATATTCAAATGAGATGAAGATTGAGGAGGAGGAGGGGAAAGGAAGATGAAAAATGAGGAGAGAAGGAAAAATGGAAACAAGGTTTTATAAATAAGGAGGGAAGCTGGTTGAAGGTTGAATCAAGAATGTGAAAAAAATCAAGTTATATCACATGCAGGTGCACATTCCTTATAATGAATGTGATCATTATGTACACCTAAAATGTACCAATGAACTTAAATAATTGAAAAAGTAAAAATCTGAATGAAAAAGATAAGAAACCCTAGAATTTGTCTCCTTTATCTGTTCATTGTGTGCATAAACTCAGGTATGTAGAGATTAATTACAGTGAGTTCATCACAAAATTTTGGTCGCATTCAAATTCTCACATTATAAATTTAATGTTTCTATACTATCTAATTATGGGAAAGGGAGTCCATAGAGGGAGTAGTATCTCAAATTAACCACTTACCAGTCCAAATATTTAGATACAGAATGACCAGAAATTGCATATTTTTCCTTAATTTTTATAAGATAATAAAACAGGAAATATAAAAATGACAGTTTTGTGAAATTTATTCAGTACAGGCATCACTTGGTGGAAATGACACCTGCCTAAGAAACACTCAGAATAGTTAGTATGCAAACAAATGCATTGCTCAAGAGATGCTTGGGGCAAAGTGCTAAGTGGTTAATAATTTATTAGCAATAATAACTCAGCTCTTCCTTTACCAGAGATTTTCACCCTCATTATTCTGTGAGGAGTAGGTGTTTCCCCACTTTGTCACCTCCCATTTCCATCTATGGTTTTCCTTGCTAACATGGTGCAACCCCATTTTCACACTATCCCATTTTATCTGCTTGTATATGAACACAATTATTTTAGATTTAGATTTTGATTTTTCAGCCATTGACTTGGTGAGTCTGAACAGATATTTGAACACGAAGCCTCGAGTGGGTTAAGGAGCCAGAAAAGAAGGCTCTAACATGGCACAAACAGTAATTTCCCTTGAAAACAATGCAGAACTAGAAAGAAGCACAGAAAGCAAAATACAAGAAGGAAAGACGGGGTCAACACAGCTGCTGATCTAGACCAATTCCAGGAGCAGGAACACAGAAAGTAGAACAGGGGTATTCAGGTGGGAAGAGGAAGGTACTGCAAAGTACGAGGGAAGCAGAGGAAAATAGTTGAAGTAAGTAAAGGATAAAGACTGCCCATTGAGGCTGCGTGTTTTGGCTGTGGGTGTCGGTGGAAAGAGATTCAGTTGGCTGGTGACAGGCCCAAGGAAGTGTGAATGTGTAACACATAAACAATACATGTAAAACAGCAATAACAAGAACCAAAATCTATGAGGACCAGAAAACAGAACAGATGTGATTATAGCTTTGAACACCTACAGTTCTTAACAGTGCATGCAACAAATTCTATGTGGGCATTTACTTGGGTGTTCTGCTTGTGTTTAGGTGGACAGATCAGTGCACAAAGGCGTGCAGGTAGTTACTTTCAGTCAAGCTTTCTGCATGTGTCTTGCTCAAGCACAGAGCATTCCCTTTGTGGCTTTAGCCAGGGAGGCTCAGGGGTCTATCTGTCCCAGGCCAATGTCTCTCTTAGGGAGGACAATCACTGTGCTCAAATTGTCTTCCGCATGATCTCCATGACCTGTGCAGGTGGCTGCTGAACGGAGCCCAGACTGAAGTGGCCTCAGAGTTGCAACACCCCTGCAGCTTTGCTGTGGAGCTACAGAAATTAACACAGTGAAAAGAGAAAGCCAATTTATTTTTTGTATTTAAAGCATGAGAAATTTATATTTTTATCCATCCTGCAAAATTTCCCATATTTGGTAACAAAAAATGATCCATCTCTTCACGGAGATACCGATGACTGACGTTAATGTGATAGTTTAAAGAGAAGGCACCTAAATAAGCTACCAAAATATGAAATGTTTAAGTCTTTCAATTTATTATTTTTATTCACATACTTTTTTGATTACAAGAAGCAGTTAATTTTCTTTCAAGGTCTAAGAAATAGGTGCACCATAAGATCTTATCAGAACAATTATTTTTAAAGATCACATTCATTTCTGAGAACGTAATTTAACATTCTCTCAAGTTTATGTAAAATATGACTAATCTGGACTAATTCTACAGCGTCAAATAAATTACAATAATTTTTGGTGTTATAAAATAGCTAAGAATGTAACAAAATACTATGGAAGTTCTTCATAATGAGACTACTTTCAGGAAGTTTAGTGCCATACCATATTCATTTTTTTGAAATGCTATTTAATGATTAAAGATACCTGAGTTGTAGCTGCAAACCAAATACATGAGGTTATACTGTGATATGAAAGA